TACATACATACATACATACATACATACATACATACATACATACATACATACATACATACATACATACATACATACATACATACATACATACATACATACATACATACATACATACATACATACATACATACATACATACATACATACATACATACATACATACATACATACATACATACATACATACATACATACATACATACATACATACATACATACATACATACATACATACATACATACATACATACATACATACATACATACATACATACATACATACATACATACATACATACATACATACATACATACATACATAGCCGAATTATTAATTGCCTATGAACAAAACTTTATTACTAAATCAACAAACTGATTGAAGTTATGTTTATTAATAAAATGTTTCTACTTGCTACTGCTAAGATCATGTAAACTGTTTGTAAATAATAGTTGTAACTTAATGTTTTGGCGTGTTTTGCGAGTTTGTACACAATTGTAGCTTGGATTATAATCTAGCAGGTACATCATTTTAATTTACTTGCAATTGAGGAACTGCGACTGGTTGGTTGGTTGTTTGTTCGCCTAGTTGGTTGGCTGGTTGGTTGGCTGGTTGGTTGGCTGGTTGGTTGACTGATTGACTGGTTGGTTTATTTATAGGTTGTAGATTCAGTTGTTAGCGAGTTGTGTGTTTATCTGTTTTTGTCGTATTGAATATAATCTTCCCAGCATGCTATTAACTTTATTGCTAACTTTGTTGCTGTTACATTCTCATAAACTATCTGTGATGATAACATTACAAATTTCAAAAGGATGTGAAAATACTTAAAGATGTTATTATGCATGCTGTAACCCACACAATAAACCATACATTCAAAAAAGACAACATACCCAACAACACATAAATATAAACATTAGTACAACAAAAACAGCTAAAAACCACCTACAAAATAAACATACAAACAGCAACTCCAAACCACGTAAACATACATAAACATGCACAGACATAAACATACAGTGTTGAGCGGGAACCAACAATATCACATAGTTCAAATGTAAAAACAATTAGAACGTACAGACAAACTAAACATGCGGTAAAATTTGTAACAAATCTTTCCAGGTGAAACAGTTGAACACCTGTATCTTGCGCGTTGTCAGTACTTAAATGTGTGGCTTCTTATTTAAGTTTTGATAAATTATCTATAGGAATATTGGTTTTAAATGTTCATTCATAAAAACGAAATAAACGAATGCAGGTAATGTTTGTGAATTAATACGTTTAATGATAATTTAAAACAGGATAAACGTTTTGTTGGCTGGTTTTGTTGGAGGTTGTTGTTGGGTTGTTATTGTTTGTCGCAGCCAACATCAGCATTGCATTCTTAATGATTAATCATTGGTTTTAATGACGTGTGTAGTTTTATTAGATTACGTCATATTAGATTACAATAGATGACATTTCACTCAACTTTTACATCTCTTCAAATCACATCACTTTGCGTAACAACACTTCGTCAAAGTTACCATTCAATTTGAGAAAACTAAAAGACAACCAACGCATCAAGAACAGCAATAACAACAAACATACACAACAACAACAGCAACAACAAACATACTGACAAAAAACAACGTAAAAACGCAAATTAAAGAAGCTTTGTACGACATTATGACACGGATCACTTCATTACAAATGCTTACTCATTTTAAGGAATTTAACTTACAATGCGTATACATGTATATATATATATATATATATATATATATATATATATATATATATATCATTCATTGCATTTATATAGCGCCAGTTTGAAAAAAAATCGTCACATGCACTTCCATATATTAAATGCTTTTAAGAGTCTAACAGATATCAGCTGTTTCTTAAACTGAGTAAAATCACCACTGCTCAAAGTGTTTGGAAGGCTATTCCATAATTGTGATTCAACGACAGCAAAGATTCGAGATCCAATCTTGAGGTATGTCTTTGGCACGCACAAAAAATTTGAATCAACTGACCTGAATTCATATTTTGAAAACTTTGTTTTGTCATTAGTAAACAAATTGATCATATTTTGTGGTTCAATATTATTCAAATATTATAAAAATAATTCTCTTATCAACTCGCAACCAATGCAATTCTTTCAGTATTGGGCTCACATGGTCAAATCTTCTACTCCCAACCACAACCTCGAAATCGAAATAAGGCCTATCTGCATGATGAATTTGGATAACAACAGTTTAATTAAATTTTCATGATGAACTTCGATAAGAATTATATTCTCAATTAATCGAACAATTTCCAAAAAATTCTAGTAAGGAAAATTGAAAATACAACTTTAAATTGATTAATGTCAGCAAGTCGGTAAAATTCATACAATTCTGTATAAAATATGGTCTCCTTCCAACAATATATATATATATATATATATTATAATTTTAAAAATTGGTAATAATATATATGTATAATAATAAATAGTGCATTGATCTAATTTGTTTAGGAGTCATTCAATATGACTGACTCATGCATTGTTTTAAAATTCGACAGGATTCACAACCGGTCGTCATCAACAACATCGTCAACAACAACATCGTCAACAACAGTATTGAAAATATTCTCAGTCACATCAGGACCATCGGCAACAGCCTCATTGTTGCTGGATGCATCATCATCAATTTCAACAAGTGCTTCAACAACAGCAACATCAACAAATTTTGAGACGATCGCGAACAAAGTTGAATTGCCAGCGTGCGGCAACTTCAGCATCCTCAAACATGCTACAACACTTTCTCCAACTAATTGCAACAACGAAAACAACAACAGCAACAAACGAGTTAGATTTGCTTTAGATACAAACACTAACATCTTGTCTGACAAGAGTTACAACAACAAATGCAACATATCTAACAACAAAACCAGCAGAAACAACAACTGCAGCAGCATTAACAACGTAACGAAAATGTCCACGTTGGCAACCAACAAACAAATTTCGTCAACTAAACTTGAATCAGCAATGAGAACAGCCATCGCCACCAATCATGCAACCACACTTTCCGCGACAACAAACGATCCAGCGGTCAAATACATAACCAAAGAAACTTCTTCAGCTACAAACTCAACAACAAATTTGCCAATGATTGAATCCAGGACAACAGCAAGGACGAGCCAGCCGACAATCGAAACAACATCGGTAGTCTGGCAACCACTTTCAGTGAACATCCGGCAAGTGAACGATCGAAAGTGTTTGACACCTGGTGAGGAAATTAATTTGTTTAACGTAAACTCTGCGAGCGACTATTTATGTAATCAAGAACATTTTAATTATTGCAACAATGAAAACCAAAATGAATTGAGTAACAGTAATTCTGATTACAACAAGACCAACAACAATGACGTTAATGTTTGCTTTGAGGCGGAGGATGTTTTAAACGAACAGCCCAACAACAACAACATAATTGTTAATGAAAACGATCAAACCTTAAATGATGAAGATGAAGAGGAAGAAGAAAAAGGAGAGGAAGAAAGAGGAAAAGAAGACGACGATGAAGCAACAGCGTTGAGGTTAGTTCGACTGAGTGAAGCGTACGAGGAACTGTGCCACAAGACGATATCCATGATGTTCAGTGAATCACACAACAGCTCAGACTACGACACCGCTAGATGCAGTAAGTACGAATACTTTCGTACAAGTTCTAGTTATCAGAGCTGCGAACAAGTCAGTGTTGAAAACGACGATGAAGTTTTTCACGAGAACAAACAGCTAACGTCAATACCACCACCACCACCACCAACAGCAGCAGCAGCAACAACAGCAGCAGCAACAGTAGCAGTGCCAGATGAGACTTGCGCTGTGCAACAAACTCGAAATGAAACGGTAGAAAATCTGAATGAAACAAAGGACGAATTTTGCAAATACCCTACAAATTCCACACAGCATGAAGAAAATAATGCGTATAACGAGTCACCCAACAATAACCACGCCCCTAGCAACTATTTTCTTCCAAACTTTAACAACAGCACCGACAAAAATGTCAACAGTAGCTTCCAATCAACAATTATTAACATTCCCGATTTTTTCCCACCAAGATTCCCACCAACATCCACGAAAAAAAACAACTGCGTCCCACTAAAAACTCAGTGCGAAGGATCAGTTGAAAGATTGAAGAGAGCATTGATTTTTTTTACAATTCTCAGTTGCATTCGCAATCTGGGATGTTACCTCTTTGTATGCAGTTTGATGGCCATGATATGTATCCACCCGCAGCCCGTCTTCGAATCGAGACCAGACTACACCTTTGACCTTGCTCTGCTCTTGTGCACCAGCTTCATGTTCATGTGGCAGGTACTACACGTCACCAGACAATTATTGAACTATAGTGCTGGCCCCCTTCATGACATCCTGCTAGTTGGCACAATAAATTGGAAGGAAATGAAAAATTTTCTGATGCAAAAGAGGTCTATACCTCCATATGTGACATTGGAAATGGAGGTGAGTAGAAGAGCCAGATGTTTGTACAGTCTAACTTCGTGTTTCAATGGTCTCAGCCGAGGCTGTGTCAGTTGTATCAATTGTTGTTGTCTTCACAATCAGCAAACAAAACACAAACAAAACCGACAACTGCATGAAAACCAGGAGCAGCAAAACAATCAGAGAATCAAGTATGCGCACGTCCTGAAATTCGACGGCTGGTCCGACGACTCGCCAACTATCAACATCCTGGACACTGGGGGGGTCTCCATAAATAATCTCCCTACAACAAGTCGGCCACCAAGCAATCAAACCCAGCACAAACACAACGTCATGCATGACGATCAGGCTAAAACATCAAAAACTATCAACAATTTGTATTCTACTTATTTAATTTTCGTATGGAAAGATTATAAATGTATCGACAAACAAACGAACTCTTCAATTGAACGAGAAGTAATGGAGTGCGTTGAGAAACTTTCAGCAGATCTCCACATGAAGCCCGCAAACATCAAATCAGAAATTGACATAGATGTGATGGAAGGAAACTATTTTCCAGACGCACAGGCCTTTCTTGTTGGCATGAAAGAATCCGGCGGCCTTTGTGGAGTTGGAACTAATTCAAAGTTTCGACCCAGTAGCTTGCTTGCGGACAAGTTCTTCACGAAGAAATGTTACTTCATCAGTTCTTGTATTTCGCTCGACGGATTGTACTCCATCATTTTCTCATTCCTAACGAGAAGAAAGTTGGAGTTAAATCTAACAAAATACATAAAACGCTCTGTAGAAGCATGAACTAGTAATGTACATATCAAAGGGTTATCTTATATTTTTACTCTGCACAAACGTATTCGAACAATCTTAATTTTTATAGTTTTGATAAATTACTTAATTAATTTATTTATTAATGATGACGAGCTTATGATAAGCTTTGATATTTAGTTTGCATGTGCTATAAATCAATTATCTTCAAATTCGAACTTCAATGTATAGATCGGGAGTTAAGAACGTAACGTTTTTCCAATCAAATTCGCGCCATGGAGAAATCCTTATATCATTTATATCATTCGCGCCATGGAGAAATCCTTATATCATTTATACTTGTATTCATTAATTATTTATGAATTACGAGTAAGCTTGTTGTGAGTGAAATAATGAGAACTCATTTAGCTGAACTTTGGTGAACGAATGGAAACTAAGTGAAATGTGCCTCTACAACATGCTTCATTATATATTCAATGATTATATTTTTTTTTTGTAAAAAAATAACTGAAACAAATTTTAATTACATATTATTATGTTGAAAAAACATTGTATTAATACACAGATTCAGCTTGTATACAATATAAATCAAATAAAACGCATTGAAAAGTTTAAAATATGTACACAATCTGCTAGAGTTACATCATTTTCATTTTAAGAGATTAGAAATATTTTAAAAGTTGATGATCTACGATACAAACCAATCGAAATAAAGCTAAATAAATAAAATATACTTTTCACGGGGTTTAATACCGACATTCTGCTAAAGATATGTGATGAATTTTTAAAATTAGGAAAACATCAGTAATTAATTAAATAATTAAAAAAAAATGAATGATTTAACAAATTTGCGTCAATGTACATCTTATAATAATCCAAAAAATTTCCAAACAACTAGAACCTTAGATATGTGACTAAAATGATATAAACGATTGGAAGGAGATTAATACTAGCATTTAATAAAAATAAAGCAAAATAGAATCTGTCTGGTAAAAATTACGATGAATATGGAAAAATAATTTGAAATGAAAATACTTTTTGAAATAAGCAATGAAGCACCAATTCTACATACTCTACTGCTGAATAAACTTTGTACAAATGAAAAAATATCTCAAACGACGGCACATGTGTTTTTCACTGACGGTCAAAGTTACAAGTTTTTGATTCATTGTACGAAGGATTTTAAAATTAATAAGACATTGTTTCGATCTATTGGGAGCCTTTTATTAGCCTTCCAAAACCCAAAAACTTAAAAATAGATTACCAAAATAATATTCTAACATTTTATCGCAAAAATTGGTTGAGAATCTTTGCAAGGCGTTTCAAGAAGCGTGTTAATAGATAGGTAAGAGACATGAAATAAAATAACACGGAGATATCGGCAATGATGGCAACATTAACGAATTCGTTTCTTATGTACAGATCCTTTACATTATATCAATATTGTGAATAAGTCATTAACAAATTGTTAGTTTGAACGTGAATAAAAAAACAAAGCGATCAATTAAAGAGACAAAATTAACAAAGACACGTAACAACGATACTAATAACTCAAAATTGATTGATATCATAGATAGGTTAGTTCTAATAACAAAAATAGGTACATACTAATAAAAATAATAATTATTATAATAATAATAATTTCAATTATTATTATTATTATTTGTTGGTCGTCGTGCAAGCAGCAAACAATTAAAGCCGCCTTCCTTCCTAAACATGCCAGGCTTGAAATAACTTACTAGTAACATTAATAACATCTGCTTGATATGATCTAATTCTGTACAAGATTCAATTAAAAAGAACATCTATTAGCACTATCAGCTCAATAAAAAAACATTTTAAACTGATTGAACTATTATTTAACCTATTTACCTACAGGAAGACTTATCAAATTACATCGTTTATATCTACACACCATCACAACGTGCTCTTCAAACAAGTACACTCAGATGAATAAAAAGGCGCACGCAGGCACTGCCAGCAAGCAAATAACAGGAAACAGACAATGTAAGTAACGAGAATGTACTATACAAAAAATAATGATCCACATCAACATCGTGTGGCATGGAAGCAAGTAGGCTCCCAGGAAATAGTTCACTGAAGTTTTTGAGATCATCCATTAGTTGGATAATTATTTATATTTATTAGCAAGTTAATTGATGAAGAAATAAAAAAAGGTAAATGACTAACAAAATATCATTTCAGCAGAATAACTTTGTTAGTTTCTAGTGTAAGTGGCAAGAAGGCACGATATGGAATTAGGAATAGGTGAAATATCGCTAGAAAGTCAATCACGAAATTACAAGCACGTAGAAGATGTGAATCACAAATATAAATCGCTAATCAGATTTTTGAATCGAAACACGAGCCAAAAATTTTCAACTCAAAAATTTTCAAAATTTTCTTTTTTAACAAAAAGAAACTTCAAACTGATGATATGTCACTTACGATACTAATGATATGAACCTCTTGAGTCAATAAACAACGGAGCAAGTAACTAAGTAAACACACAGCTGAACGAACAAACAAATAAATAACTAACTCAATAAATGTAAAACTAAATAAACTGAATAACAATTGAACATAAAAGAGAAACTGAATAACCGCCAGTCGCAAGAATCAGAAACAAAAATGCTAAAATAATCGCGACATTCAAGTAGAATAAGATCGATGAGGCATCAGAAAATCATAGAAACATTGGCTGGCGTGCATCACAATGATCAAGTGCTGCTTGGTTGTATAAAAATGAAAAAAAAGAAACAATAACAACATTAATATGAATCCGAAAAAACAATGATATTAAAATTAAACCAAAAAAAATGAACGGTTAGGATTAATTTTGAATTTATTGTTTTCCACCAAACCAAAAACGGAGTTCAGCTCCAGATTGCATTGCGAATAATAATTAATCAGGAATATGTTGTGATGAAGATGAAGGATTCGGCGGTGAAACAGTTTTTTTGGCATTCAAAAACCAGAACGAGCCACTGCATAGCGAGTAGAAAAATGTTTACAAAGTTGTAGCACTGTCTCGGTACAATCAGCCGCATCTTCAGCATTTTAAACTTTATATTAAATGATTTAAACCTTATATTAAATGAAAAATACCAAGATACGCTAAATAATACCTCGATCAGGTGTACAAACGACAAATTCACTAAACGACACACCTCAACCAACTTAAAACTCGGTAGGCATTAGATAAATATATATATATTGTGGGGATCCTCATTTTATATTGATATATATTTTTGTTTTTAACGCCGAACATGCTGTGATTTTCATCAATAATTGCATTTCTGACAGTCTCAATCCAATACACACACACACACACACACACACACACACACACACACACACACACACACACACACACACACACACACACACACACACACATATATATATATATATATATATATATATATATATATATATATATATATATATTAATAACAGTAAATTCTTACTGTTTCAATATATATATATAAATATATATATATATATATAACTATATAACTATATATATATATATATATATATATATATATATATATATATATATATATTGGAAGGAGGAGACCATATTTTATACAGTATTGTATGAATTCTACCATTGTGCCATTATGCCAACAACTCGGTAGAACTGGTCGACCTCAGGTTGTAAGTGTGATGTGGATATCAAGCGAAGGATAGCTATGGCGAGGATGCATATTCTAAAATGAAAAACATCCTCACCAACAATAAAATTAGAATATCAAAAAAATTAAAACTGTCAGAGTGCTACATTTTTCCTGTGCTCACTTACGGCTCTGGAGAAAAGAATTAACGCTGCTGAGATGTGGTTTTTGTGAAAAATTATAAAAATTAGTTGGACCTCTCATACTTCGAATGAGGATGTATTAAAACAGTCCGGTTATGAAAAGAAGAAATTACTAGAGATAATCCGACGGGGGCAGTTAAAGTTTTTTGATCACTTCATGCGGAAGGAAGGAATGGAAAATCTAACAACCATTGGAAAGATTGCAGAGAGGGGAGATAGCAGTCAACAACCAATTACATTTGTGAAGTTCTCATGTCACTTGTTGAATATCTCCACATTTCAGTTACTAAGTGTTAAAGATCGCATTTTGTGGAGGTCGGTTGTCGCTAATGTCTGAAAGGATAAAAGGATAAGGCACGAGAATGAAGTTATATTGGTTCAGACTGTCGTATATACGGTTATTAAGATATATCACCACATTTTTGAATATATAAATATAATAAACAATGGGTATCATTATTAATATTAATTATTATCGTTTGTGAATATCATGAGATATAAGGTAGACAGACAGACAGACAGAGAGACAGACAAACAGACAGACAGACAACATGATAGACACTGTAAGCTTGCATTGTACGAACACGATACTGCAAGATGGTAGTGCCCTTGAAATTATGAAAAAAAAATAAATAAACTGCAGTAAACAGTTACAACTTGAAATAATGCAAGATGAATCGGAACAAATGAAACAACCGACTGTGACAGCAAGCAGTATATAAAATAACAAAAAAATAATTTACGAAAAAAATGATCACGATGTATAATGTAAACTGGACGAATACCTTAAACGTATGTACAGAACAATGAGATTTTTTGAAATACAACAGAAATTTATTTAAGATATGCAAAACGGTAATTGACATTTTTATAGTTACAACTAACAGTGCATTCCTATACTGCATACAGTATAAGATGTATGTAAATTAAAACAAACATAACAATAAAGTTAAACACACACACGCGCGCACGCACACGCGCGCACACTATACATATGTACACGCACATGAAAAATATAATGTTTTGAAAGTTGTTGACACTCATTGCACATAGAAGAACATGGTTGCTGGATGAACAACGTTTGACATTAATTTTTAAAACTGATTGCTTCATCATTTCTCCTTTCATTATCAACGACTATGATTACAATTAATATAATCAATCAAAACTAGATGCATCTTTTTCATCTGTATCAACATCATTCATTGTCAGATTATCATTGCCACTTACATCAACATCACAACCACCACCATCATCATCGCCATCAACAACTCATCATCATCATCGTCGTCGTCACCATCATCATTATCAACAACTCATCGCCATTCTCATCGTCATCGTCCTCATCATCCTCATCATCACAACCATCAGGATCAAACATGCGTCTCCTCCAGCACATCTTCCACGACGGCTTCCTCATCCGGGATAGTGTCCATGACGATGAAGGCATCCGAGTGCTTGTGTCTCAGTGATAATATCGACGACGATGATGACGGCGACGACGACGAAGAAGATGAAGCTAGGGACGACGACGACGACGAACTGGACAGTCTGCTCCTATACTTTTTGTTGAATGATCGATTCAACTCTTCTTCCGTCTACAATGAAACCATCATTATCATATTATTATCATCACCATCGTCATATTTATCATCTGTCATGAGACCTGTCATCATCGTCCTACGTGTCAATTATTGTTATTATCATTCACATTATCATCCTTACATAAAATGACCATCAACAACCAAAGTTGAAAGTTGCATGCATGCAAAACTTGGGCACAAAAGAGGAGAAAGAGAGAGAGAGAGAGAGAAAGAGAGAAAGAAAGAGAGAGAGAAAAGAGAGAGAGAAAGGAGAGAGAGAGAGAGACAAAGACAGATTGGAAGGATTTGAAGTGGAGTGCTACAGAATGTCGTTGGCATTCAATTGAATAGAAAAGGTTGATAAATATGGTAGCAGAAGCAAATCATCTCATCATCTACAACCACCAGCCACTACAAAACAACCACTGACAGAACAAACACACTGCAACAAACAATAACGTCTACAAACCACCACCACCAACAACAACAGCAGCAGATGCAAACCTTCAACTTGTCATTGGTCAGTTCAGCAAGGATGTTGTCATGAGTCGAGTCAATCAATCTCTTTTGAGTCTCGTAAAGAAACAACATCTGTAACGGGTCGCAAATTTCAAAAAAGTTTTAAAGGCAGTAGTAATAAAATGAAATGAAACGGAGATATTGTTACGATGAAATTTGTATAGCTCAGGAAGTAACAGCATAGCAATTGATAAAATTGAATAACAACAATTTAATGAAAATTGTTCAATAACTTAACTATCTGTATCAGCTAACCATAATCATTCGTAACAAAGACAAATTTGATTTCAAACAGACCTCTTGTCTTTCCTTCACGGCAGAGTTAATATTTCTTTGTACTGATGCTTTTCTCACTCTGAATGGCAAAATTTAAATTTGGTTTGTTCAGTCATTGGGCTAATCAACTAGCAATCCATTCTTTATTTATTTATTATTTCAACGGGCCACTCAATCTTCAAGTTTCAAAGTTCACAACAGATCTATGAAAATAACCCTCTAAAAAATGTAACCCCTTACAGATGAACGCAATACAAATAGCCTACCTAATCCACGTAACGTAGCCGACCGACCCACATAAACCCTCTAACCTGGACAGTTCCTCCTTATCTCGATACTTGTCCTTAAGAGACTTTATCTCTTCCCAAATATGAACATGATGTTTCTTCTTCAAGGAACAAACCACCTTGACATTCTTCTTGTCCAGATCGGCGAGCTGACACTCACGACTGATCTCAATGACCCGATGCAAGCTGTTGTACATTCTCTGCTGCCAGGCCAACCTGGCCTTCAACTCTGCTTTGTCCTGCTCGTAACACATCTGCAACAACTCGGCCGATTGGCGCTTCTTCGCCTCCTGAAGTCATTTTGAAAGGTGAAATGATAAATCTTGTGATATGATTTAGGAAACAAAATGTTAAATGAAGATTAATTTTGGGCAAAACATTTTATTGAGGAACATAAATATTATTAACTCTGTGAAAAATCATATAAAGTATAACAACAAAGTGATCGGATTCGACTGCAAAAGACCTCCGTCCATTGTATGCTAAAAAAGAAACGCTGTCTCACGTGCGTACGTATCTGTACTGCGGCAGGCTTCATATTTAAATTTGTAATTCAACGTAAGACAAATACGAAATGTAAATCGCAATGATTAACCAGATAATTGGAAAACTACGCGAACAAAATGAACGTACTGCAATTTGGACCAACAAAGACTGCACGCACGAGGCGTCACGCTGAAGTTCTTTGGCTTTCATTTCTTTGGTTAGTCGATTGATCTCATGTTGGTGTCGTGCGAACTTGTTGCTTAGTTCCTAAGAAGTGTTTGTACATACGAGTTGAGAATGTCATCCATCATTCTCAGGATCATTATCATTACTATCATTGCCACATTCGTAACTTTCGTCAAGTCAATGATCACCATCATTAAACTTTCGCATCATCCAACATCATTTTCAAAACAGTAACATTAAAATATAAGATCAAATGCTTGCCAATAGAACTGAAAAAATCTGAAACATAATTTATTGTCACTACTTTGCTGACAAGCTAGCCAAGAATGAAACAAATAAACTCGCCAACCAATCAATGAATTCTTGGAACACTCATCAACCAAGCATGAAGCCTAAATAGAAAATAAATATCCCGATACCCTATCATGTTTCTTCTTGAGCGAGGTGAGTTCTTTGTTGAGTTTGTTGAGGACCTTCTGATGTTGCTTGTTCTGCTTCAGTGACGACAAGCAAACGGGCTGGTTGTCAACTTGATTTCATTTCGAAAATTTAAAAATATTAATTAGCTCAGTAGATAAAAAAATTTAACCGAAGCTGAAACGGATCAATATTTATCAGATGTGTGTTTATTCCCATTAAACTAATCAATAAGTCAACAAAAAAGTAATGAAAGATAAAAATTGCCAAGAAACATAAATACAAGTAGGAACAACAACCACTTATGTTCACTGTAAGAAATAGTGAAAATAGTGAGATAAAGAAATTTAACTGAAGCGTACTGAAGAATTCACGAAAGTGAACTAATGCAAGGCAATAAGCAGACAATAACCAATAAGAATAACTAAAACAAGATTCAATATGAGACAAAACAGAAAAAAAGACAAACAGACAGACAGGCAGACAGACAAACGGACGGACGAAAGGATAGACAGACAGATAAACAGAAAGTTGACAAACAGATGTACCTAATATTTTGCCTAACGGTTCTGTTGGAATTTTTTTGGATGTCTGTGAGTTGGTGGCACAATAATCATCTGAAAAATTTTGCATTATAAAAAAATTTAACAAAAGATTTTGAGCTTAACCTACTTTCCATCAAAAGTTTTTATCAGTAATTAACAAAACCTAACCAGAAAGACAAACGAAACAAAAAAACATTGATAACAAAATAAGAACGACAGCATTTAAAACAAAACGCCACTCACCGGGAATAATGCTGAGGTTCGTTTCAGATGAGAAGAGCTTGAGATTCGATCTGATGGCTCGAATTTCCTGCTGTCCTGATGACGTGAGGACGAGGTCTGAAGCTCTGTCCATCGCGTTTGATTTCTTCGTCTTCGTCCAGCTGTTGTTATACTTGATTCGCTGGAGAGTGGAGGAGGAGCTGGCCGATGAAGATGATGCAGTTAGTGACGTCTGGAAGAACATAGATGCCGTTGACGCTGATATTGACTGTCTACTCATTGTTGGATTGAAAAATGCATCCACGTTGTCCGCCTGTTGTGACTGTGGAATAATTTTGTGGAAAAAATTTTTCTTATGAATTTTATTACAACAGAGAAATGTTATTTCAATATAACGGAAAATTGAAAAGTAAAAGATTAGAATGCTAATGCACTTTCAATCAAACTCAATTCATATAAGATGACGAATTTTCTCATCGAGGGTAATTCAAACGTTTGTAAGAAAATAAAACTCCGAACTAATGAACAATCATGAATGATCGTGACTATCTAAAGCCAGCCATAAAATATTATAAAAAACTATCAATAACCACAACTGAGATGGGCATTTTTCGTTAAAACTGCTAAATGTAACAAACATAAGCAAAATTAAAATGTCAAAAATAATAATTAAATAACAGTGGAAAATGATTATAACGAGTATAACCAGCAATAAAACTCCAACAAACAAACGACAAGCAAGCAACATGTTCAACTTGAACATTCATTTACATTCGTGGAGGCTTGCTGCTGATGAAGTTCACCGAAGTCCTCCTCAAGGACCGCCAACTGATTGTTGTGCCTCTCCATCATCTCTGACATCTCAGAGAGGTGACTCAGGTAGGCTATCGGGTTCATGAGGGCTTCTGCTATTGCTGCAAATCAAATTTTAAACCGAATTGAAATAACGAAAATAAATAACTAGAAACAAATAAAAATACGAACCGGCATGTGACTGAGGTACATAATCATAGATGGCCACGTACACGAAAAGTGTGGCCAGCCCTTGTGGCTGCCCTCTCTCGTTAAACAAACTTATGTGTTTGTATCCTGTCACATGTGATGTCGTAAAATTATAAAATCACATATCCTAACCTTTTATCCTCTATTACGTTCAAAGAAAAATATTTCCATTAGCCTGCATTAATCTGATAGTATTAGCCAGACAATCAGCCAGCCAACCTGATTTGATGGCGGTGACAGGCAAAACCCTCTGCCCTAATAGGGTGGTCCCGTTCTCGTGGTACACTGCAAGTCGTAGGTAGGCTACGTGGGGCATAATTATCTGCCACCAACAATTAAATGTGTTAGAAAATAATAAGCGAAATATAATTATAAATATTACAAATTAAATTAATAATAATGATGAAGAGAGAGAGCAGAACGTAAATTATGATGATTATTTTGCTGGTCAGAAAAATTTGGTCCTGACATCAGCGCGTTGTCGTTGCGTGCTGGCCTCGTTCGAAGGCCGCGTGTCACTGATGGGGTGATTGTGGGTGCAAAAAATGGCATCTTTAAACATTATGTGAGAGAGATGAGAGAGAGAGAGAGAGAGAGAGAGAGATATGAGAGAGAGAAAGAGAGAGAAAGAGAGAGAGAGAGAAAGAGAGATGAAGCGTACAAATATTTAGAAAGCAGGTGTCATTATATAAACGCTCACAAAGACAACAACACCTGCTCGAATGCAAACGGTCTTTCGTTGTAGACGGGATTGATAGCATTGAGACTGACAACCCTGGTTCTGAACTTTGACCTCACCGTGTCAGCAGGAATGCCAAATAGATCGCAAGTTACAAAAGTGCTAATGCGCTTGTCAGATAGAAACTGTCCTGATTTTATCTGAATCGATTATTATTTGTTTGAATTTTTATTGAAATTAAATAAATTATATCATCCGACAAAGACAGCAACGGCGTGACAAACTGTGATGGCCATGGACATGGGGACGATGCCGTCAACGATGCCGTCAGCAAATGAATCGAATGACCTTTCCTTTATTCTCATGACGTCAGGTTTCAGAAGGTAGCCACAATGACCGTTGTAATCAAAAGCTCCCAGGTTCAACTGCATCGGCAGGTCTGTTGAACAGTGAAAGCATTCTTTGTATGGATAAATATTACAAAATGAAAAATTACAAACTTCAAAAGTCAAATCACTAATCAAGTAAATTATTCAACAAATTATCATAAAAAGTGATTTGAACTATGAAAATGTTCCTACCTAATGTCTGGAAGTTCAATGCAACCAGCTGACAACCAACATTCCAGAAGATCTACCAGTTGAAACATTTAAATGATAAATGGTTAAAACAAAAGGTTAAAATGATAAAAAAAAACTTAACACATTAAAATACAAACACACTTTATGCATGAAATAAGCAAATTCATACAGGCAGCTGAATAAGACGGGAGACAGAATCATTTTTGCCAAGAAAATTTATTACCGTCAGATATAAAATACAAACAAACAGATCAAGCAACAACATATACAAACAAAACAACAATATATACACAGCACACACTGACCATGCAACAATAAATACACACACACAATGCAACGCATAAGAACAAAGTTCAGCTATACAAACACGCACGCACAAACAATAAAAACAATGAGAAACGCTATTGGCACGCCACACAACACTGACCAGAGGAATGTAATTACTAGAGTCGACTCGGGTACCTCTTGGATATATCCGACTAATTTGAAATTTGTTGAAACTGAAAATTAATTAATTTTTTATATACAATACTGTACGAACCAAACAATACAATACAATACAACACACTACACTACAATACAATACAATACAATACAATACAATACAAAGAAACAGCAACCACACAACAATAGCAGCCACAAGGATCTACTGACTGAGCAAACTCAATAGGGAAGGCCTTCAACAGTACGAGTGCTTGTGATTCAACAAATGATGTGCATTCATAACTTCTCATCCTTTCTGTTTGTTATATTATATTCATTCATTTCTCTATTCTTTCACTCATTTGCTTATTTATAGATTTAATCAGTCAATTCACTCAGTCAATCAATTATTTATTTAATTATTCATTCATTCATTCCTTCCTTCATTCATTCAAGAATTCACTTAAGCATTCATTTAAGCAGTCATTCATGCATTCACTCATTCCTTCAATCATTCATTCATATTTGCAAATACTTTTATTAAAAAATGAGGTTATATCATTGCATCATCATCATCATTCTCATCATCGTCAATCTCTTCATTGCGATAAACAGCCACAGGCAGAGTAAGCGATAATGACGATGATGACGACGATGACGATGATGACGACTAACGTTTGCAGGTATCAAATGAAATGAATCTGATTGGTTGGAGGTAGATGACCAGGTCACTCATCTCTGTCGATGCCGAAACCTCCTCACCTGCTGTCCCCTAAAATGACCATGACGACCGCGGTAATGGTGATGTCAGTAACAACAATAACTGCTATCAATCTTGCAAAAAGTCATCTGTGACTGACCTTCTCAGCCTTGACTGACTGCATATTTGAGATGACTCTGTCGGGGAGCTTCAAGTGTGCATCGACACCGGCCACCACACCATCTTCATCCTCCTCCTCCTCATCCTCCTCCTCACTTTCCGAATCATCTCTGTATGAGGAAGCCATTGATGATGTTGACGGAGATGGCTGGTGGGACAGCGATAAGACATTCACTGTCGACGATGTAGCCACCGTCATTACTGCCGTCGTTGTGGCTTGCAGTGATGACGCTGATGATGATGAAGGCGACGACGATGAGGAGGTTGGAGATGATAATTTAAGAGGATTTGTTGCAAATGCTGCCGTTGAATTAATAGTGGTAAAGCTTGCGGATGTTATTGTGGACGTTGTAGGTGTCGTCACAGTGGTCTTAGCGGTTGTGGTAGTTGTTGTTGTTGATGATGATAACAAAAATGATGATGATGCTGCTGGTGAAAGTGGTGTTAGCAGTTCAGCTGATGAATTCGACTGATTTGCAAACGGTATTGTTGGAGATGTTTCTTGCTGGTGCTGCAGCGTGAACTGATGATGAGATAGTTGCTGTTGTAGTTGATGCAGTTTTGATTGTTGTGGAAGCTGTGGCTGAGACTGTCGATGCTGGATTGGTGGGTGATGCCTCAGCAGAAGTGGTCTCTCCGATGATAAATGTGGTTCAACCAGCTTTTGCACCAAATCCTGCTGTTGCTGTTGTTGTTGCTGCTGTTGCTGCTGCAGTAAACCATCAGAATGAGATTTCTTGGAACCTTTAAAATTTGTTAACATATAACAAAATTAATTAATGGTTGGCCTGTCAAATTTTCATATGATTATAGACATTATAAAGTAATATGAACTTATTACATCAGATTAATGAAAACAACACCATCCAACACACATCTCTGATAACATAGCAACAACCAGCCCAAGATATACACAGCATCATCATCGAAGCAACAAGCGCACGAGTAGTAGAAAAACAAAGTTGTACTCCTGTTCGAGTGTCTCTTCTTGTTCTTTATGAGGATCTTCCTCTTCAGTGCCTCAGGGGACGGCAGTGGTACGGAAGGTTCCAACTTCAATTATCATATCATTTAATTTGTCACAAATAATTTTTATGCTTACCGAACTTATCATTATAAATAATTCCACCGTTAATGTTTGTCATAATTTTAAGTAAACGTAAGCGAATAATTGAAATGGCGAACAGGATTGTTTGGCAGGGGCTCTTGAATGAGGCAATCGCCAAATATGGTCCTGCAGTGTTGGGCCATCTTGGCCTGCTGCTTGGGCCTGGCAATGTGGTGGTGTCATTCACTTCACTAACGTTTTTTTTAATGTCACATCTGTCTAATTTATCTTTAATTAATTTTAAGTAATTAATCTCGTACACACTGGCTTAAAAACTAATCGCTTTATTGTGAATCAGAGCATCAAGTGACTACAAATCAATATTATCCTTAATCTTCATTTAATTCCACTACACCAAGCAAAGTCACCAATATCAAACTTACCTCCGAATAATATCAAACTTACCTCCGAATAATATACATCATCACCAACGTCATCATTCTATTCCTCATATAATCCATAATCACATCAGCAAATAACTACGCACACACACACACATACACAGACGGAGAGAGGACGAGGGAAAGAGAGAAAAAGAGAGGAGAGAGAGAGAGAGAGAGAATGAAAGACATACATAAAACCACAATCATAAGAACAAACCCACAAAAACCGTAGACGAACAACACTTACGAGCAATGATTCTCAAATGATAGGAGCACAGGGTAGTCACAAGTTTTGAATGCTACCTCCATTATGGCCTCAAGAACGTCCTGTTTGTTTGTTTGTTCATTCGTTCGTTCATTTCTTCACTCATTCGATCATTCATCCTTTCGTCATTCACATGTTTATTCACTAAGAATATTGCTAGTTTATTTGTCCGTACACTCTTTAGTTCATAAACATTGGTTGAATTATATTAGATCAATCACTCTCATTATTTTGATCTCATGTAGAAATCATCACAATGATCCCGGCTACGAAAAGATGATTTGATCATTAATTAATAATAGGTAAACTTAGTGCAATATTAAATGTTTGGTAAATACTTGAATACTTACATTCACACACACGAGCGCATGCACACACACACGCACGCACGCACACTATGGAGAAGCAAAATCCGAATTTTAGACCAAATAGGTGCCAAAATAACAGAAATAACTGGTGAATGAAAAGTTCTATGTAGAACAAAATATTTCTGTTTTATTAATTAGGTCTGATGTTTACTGAATTTTAGAGCATGTATGAAAATGTCCTTTCCTTTGTGAGACTCACAAACTTACATTAAAAGTCGAGGATGGAAAAACAGAGTTTGTTGGCTATTGTCTTTACTCATGGGCTCGCACACACACATACACGCACGCACGCACAACACACACACCACACACAACACACACACAACATACACACACACACAACACAAACACTCCCTCTTTCTTACTCACACAAGCACACGCACAAACACAGGCCAACGTTTGTTGAATCTCTTCAAATGGAAATGCAAAAAATACCATCGGTAAGTATATTTTAAGTGGAGCATTCATGAAAATGAGTAAAACCATTCTTTGAGAAAAAAAATGAATGAAGAAACTGAAAAGGATGAATGAATGAAAAGTGTGAGGATGAATAAATATTATAATAATAATCTTGTACGGAATTTGATTAAATTTGATAGCTCCACTCATTTTCATGTTTAGTTTTTTAATCTGTTATTTATCCCTTGATATTATTTATGAATAAATTTTTATTTTTATTGTTTGAACAAATTTAGTTGAGGAGGCCAGCACGTGCTTCAGTTTAGTACCTTGACCTCCTGTGCTTTTGTTCAAATAAATTACTGCTGTGAATGAATGAAGAAAATGAGGATGAATGAATAAATGAAGAAAAGGAAGTGAAATAAATGAATAAAAATACAAGAAGAGTGAATGAATGAACGAATGAAAGTATAAAAAGATGAATAAACAAATGAAAATGAAGGTATATGAATGAAAAATGAAATGAATGAACCTTCAGGAGAACTTCTGTGCACATTGTGAATCCGTGCGTGATGACTGGTTCATCATCAACTCCACGACCGTCCCAACAATCCAACTCGACACATCGACAGCCTGACAGCAAGACTTGTCTGTACATCTCAACTGACGAACGACTGGTTAGTTGGTGACCTGTGTATGTGTGTGTGTGTGTGCGTGCGTGTGTGTGTTGGTAGATTCATGTTGTTGTCTATGTTGCCGTTGTTGACCATGTTGTTGTTTACGTTCATGCGGTACATTTTAATACGAAATTTTTATATTAATATTTTATAAATTTTAATTTTTAATATAAGTTAAATCAGTAAGAAGGTGAAGATTTGTGTAGTAAATGCCTCAAACTGAGGACATCAAAAAGTTGACCTGTGAGGTAGGTGTTGTGGGAAGAGCTGATGTAGTAATGTGAGAGCGGTTGGTTCATATCATGATTGATGGATGCATGTACATTGGATACGATGTTGTTGTCAGAACTCAAGAGGTACCTCAAGAAACCTTCGCAAGACAACCTGCCTGTGCAACATTGCTTCCAGTTTGAAGATACGTTACTATTTATCAAGAACATTAGAAAGAGATTAAAACTACAGCATTAACAACATTTAATAACGATAATTTCAATACTGTTACTATTTCATTAAAAACACGGTACTAATTAACTTTTCCATAAACTCTACTTGACAGATCATCAGTGTTATATTGTCTACTGCAACTATTATTATTATTGCTGTTGTCGTTGATATGAAAGATTTAATAGAAACCTAATTTGGCGAGGTTTTGATCGGGCTCGTACTTGCTGACCAGACACTGAACACGATCAAGTGTGCAGTGAGGCTGGAGGAGTTCCTTTACATGACCTCCCATCTGGTGTCTGTTTATGAAGGTCATCAGGTCATGTGATGAGATGCTGTTGACGTCATTAATGTTGTTGTTGTTGTCGCTGTTGATGTTGTCGTTCATGATATCAGATGTTGTGTTGTCTTTTGGAACCTCAGATGAGCTTCAGATGTTCAAAACATAAAATCAAATTAATGCATGCACCATGCACGATTAAATGATTGCAAAAACAGCCTCAGGAAATGAAAGCAAGTACGACAACAACAACAACAACCCTCGAAGAATATGATGAGAACAAAACAAACTTGATGTCTGTGAACAAGTCAACGACATTCATCCTGAAGCAGAGGTTTTGGTAAAACAACATGAACTCATCCCACGTGAGCGAGGTCAGAACGTCCGACTGAAAATTATTAAGACACATTACAACAATCAACTAGTTTTAATTATTTCTTTCTTCTCACTGCTCTCCTTCGTTCTGAAGTTGATTCCTAGAAACGTCTGATTTATTTTCATGTGTAGCGAATTTTTTCCATGAAACATCCATAAAATTAGAATAGGTTTAGAGAAAAGTCATCAGCGGTGAGCACGATACTTGTGGAATATGAAGCAAAAAATATAATTAATGAATAAGAGATGTCGATGAATGAAGTCGTTATTGAAGATTGTTCAGTGAAAGACACATTAAACATTACGATGCAATCAACCTCAACCAAACTCTAAGTGGCAACTTCAACAGTTAATAGTAACTATTGACTCGCAACAGTTGCCAGACAAACGTGATCTCATTAAGCATGCATCAATGAACTAATAATTAATTTGAGATATAATAAAAATAATATCAACAAATACAACAACAATAATAATAAGTAAAGAAACAGACAACAACAATAATAAAGGCAATATACAATAACAACAAGCAACAGCGACAACAGTAATAACTGAATATTAATTATGATAATGATTTATGCTAATTAACCTGTTCAGTGAGCAGTCTGGATGCCTCCAATGAATTTAATACTCTTTTTTTATCTTCTTTGCTCTGTGCCAATATCTTCAGAATGCTTGGACGTGTTATGTATTATTCATCAAATCAAGTTAGCTGCCCTCATTGACCATTTACATTTACAAAACTGGCTTAGATCATTAGCAGGAATACATGATGTATTCATGATACATCAACATATGCACGCGTGGACACACACACACACACACGAACGCGCACAGACACACGCACTCACGCATGTACATAGGCATATACATATACATATATATATATAACCAACATATATATATATATATATATATATATATATATATATATATATATATATATATATATATATAAGCATTAAAAACAGTATTATAAAGATACAACTGTAAAAAATCCTAATTAAAACCAACTACATCACATTAGACTCGGAATAAAATTACTATCTAAGTTACACATATGTATGTATATGCATTACACATGAACACAGAGCTCATCAAATTTTATCTAACTAGCATCCATCTGATAAGGTAAATATAGGAACTATATCTATCCAACACAAAACAGTCTTTCATTAATCATTCAACCATCTTCATTCATTCGCTCACTCACTAGTTCACTAAACTTATTAATCGCATCGGCTATTCCACAATTCTTTCCATCCATCCATTCACCCAACCATTATTATTGACTCATTTTTATTTGTTCATCCATCCATTCAAACACTTCAGTCATCAGTTATAACAACCTTCGTTGCTTCAAAATCATGCAAATTAAAAAAGACACGCAAAATGCCACTACAATGATGCCAGCATACTCACTTGAAACTCTGCAAACGTACCCACTTTGATTTATTAAATCACTCATCTAATCATCAATTTTGTCATCCAATAATTTTTTCATCTAAGAAACTCACAATTAAATCTCTCAATCCATCAACCATCATTCATCCACACATCTATTCATTCATTCATCTATCCGCCCAGCAAAACATCCATCCATCAATCCAGCCAGGCCACAAACTTCTTGATGGGTATATTGCCATCGGGATCCGGGGAGGTGATCAACCGGATGTGGCACTTCTTCAGTTGGAGCAGTGGACTGGCCAGTAGGGGTGACTTACTGCTGTGGCAACATCTGAATATTTCTGATGCCCATTCCTATTCATGAAACATGTGGAATGCATAGTATGATGGTACAGTGGTACATATGGATGGTGGTACAGTGGTACAGTATGATGTGTGTATGCAATTTACGAAACATCAAATACAAACACAGCAAAACAGGAGATCAGTCCTTCTTACCCTGCCCTCAGCTAAACATTTTTTTGTAGCATTTGTGATGAGGGCCGTGTTTTAATTTAATGGTAAAAAAAATTTGGTTGTGGTCGTTGTTTTTAATATCTGGCACGAACATGTGGAATGAATGAATCTCCGACTTTGTCTACAGTGACAACGTAAATGGTCTTATAAATATTTAAATCGTGCATGATATATTTCTTTCCGAATTCACTCCTTGCAAAAGTCAAACTCTGACAAATGAAGAGATTGTTAGAACAAGCAGATAAATCGATAAATTCAACAAAAAGCATAAAAAAAAGAGATGAAACGAAAGATAAGACAAAAATTGAAAATACAAAATTAATAACAACAACACAAACAACGTAAAATGCATTTAAAAAGCACATTAAATATGTAAAAAATTCAATGGCATTGAACAAAGCAAAAAATTTACAATCAAAATATAAAATGAGTGGTTATGTTTTTAATAAATAAAAACATGTAAGAAAACTAAATGATTGAATATATTGAAATTTGAAAAGATGAATGATTGAAGGAAGAAACAAAGGAACCAGCGAACAGACATATGAGCAAACAAACAAACAAATGTACAAACAAACAAACCAAAGTAATAAGAACTATTTAGAAATAATAAAGATTAATGAGAGTTAAAATTACCAAGTGATGATATCAAATAACAATATGGTTAATGATTATGTTCATGATAACCAGCAGAGACTGAATTGAAATGACTTTTTTCCTTAAGATACTGAATTTGTGACAACTGTGTAATTAATTATATCTGAGTTGGAGTAAGCTGCTTGATGTGCTTTTATTGTTGATAGCAATGAGTGAATGATGTGATGAGATTGTATTTGTCTAATATGTTAAAAATTTGAATGATTAATGGATAATAGGTATGAAATAATTCAGTCTGATAATAATTAGACTTGATCATAATGGGGCGGCTTATTTAATGCACAACATGAGAGTTTCAATGAAGTCAAAATGTTTGATGTGCCCAAGTCCACGACAGTATAATGTTTTGAGTGTTTTGTAATGATGTGACTGATGTGGGGAGGTAAAGGTGATGTTTAATATTTGTAGCTGGCTTGTGCATGCAATTGATGGGGTGTGATTATTTTTAAGTTCAGTGTTTTAGTTGGAATTGAAGGAAGAGTGAGTTCAATTCAGATTGGATGGCGGCCAAATTTAATGGTGCTTAAATTTGTTTGTAGATAAATGTTAAAATAAGTAAACATTTACCCATAAACATTGCATATACAAACAGTCAAATGTAATTAAATACTAACCACACATAATAATGATTCACCTATATTTTATTTATAAATGCATTCAATAATTAATTATATCAGGATAAAAAGTATAATGGTACGAAACAAAAGCAAGACCTTAGCAATATCTTTCGACAAGCAGGCGAAGTTGAGAAACGAGATTGAAGAGATGTCAGATCCATATGTGATGGTGAGCATCTTATCCTCCATGTTGCTCTCCTGAGTGCCTACCTTCAAACTCTCTCTCATCTTCACATCCTGGTTTCAGATCATTTACAAATTTCCATGAATGTCGCATGGAAAAATAAAATAACAATAACTCCAAAATAACAATTGTTAGAAAATTTTGCATTCCTATAGTATTAATGGGAATAAATTTTGTGTATTTTGTAGGCAACATCATCAAAGATAATGAGACCATTTATGCAACACATAGCAAATATGTGATATGATGATTTGAATTGTAATATCAAGTAGATTGGATGATTTGTATCATGATATCAAGACAAGCATAAACTGGACACTAAGTCAGTTTATCCTATTATTTCAACTAAATCCAAAAATATTCCATCTTTCAATTTATATTGAGCCAGTTTGTTCCTCAACAATAAATCCATCCATGTACAAACTACAAAGACAAATGGATAATTTTGTTTCAACAACAACAATGAGAAGGAAAACAGAAGAGAATGATGAACAAACTTTGGGAAGTCTCGCAAACTTTCCAGTTCGGGCATCTGTGATGAGAGACAACTCGATGCAGTCCATTTCCTGCAGTGGTAGAAGTTAATTAAAATCAACAATTGTTTAGGTGAAATATTAAAAATGAAATTAACTGATATAAAACTATCTTCACTTAAGATAGTGTTTAGTTATATAAGTGAAAAAAAATTATAAAAACATTTGATGAATATGTGATTTATTAGACATACAATAACAAAAAATGACAAAAATGGAATATTAAAAACATTAGAAGACTGTATAAAAACTATTTTGATACAACATAAAATAGAAGAACATACAAAACTCATTGCGATGTCATCACAATATTATATAAACATCATAGTGATTCCTTATGACCATACCAAAATATGCTTACTCTCTTTTGATCGATCCAATATAACAATAAACCATTCTGATCAACAAACATGTTGACAGCTTGTACGGACAGTGAGTCCTGCGTGACCAGACGAAAAAGAAAAGTAACATTAATTTAAATTTTAAAATTTTAATATTATTAATTATAATAATAATAATTATCATTATAATGAAATTAAGGTTAGCACAGGACATGAATAATATTATAGTAAAAAGTAAATGCATTAAGTTTTAACTTAATTAACAGATTGGATTCCATTCCTCTGTCTAGCTACACTATGACTATACTTATAGTAAGTATAGTCTTATACTATTTCTCTACTCTACTGCTACTCTACTTTGTTTACATTTTACAACTACAATATCTCCAACTAACTGTTGAAAATTTAAAAAATGTTACAAAGTAAATTTATTAACGGTAAATTAATTGATATGTTGTTGTCGTCGTTTGAGTTGGTGTTTCATTTTTTTCATTTTTACTTCACTTTTACTTTTTTTTTTATTACTAACATCATCCCATTTGATAAATTTGTTTCCAGCCACCAATGAGGCAGGAACGACAGCAAGAGAATTATTCATTTTTTTAAGTATCTATTATTTAAAAGCCTAATTTGTTCATCTATAAAAAAATATTTAACTAAAAACAGTAAAACATCTCTCAATTTCTCAGATTATAACACCATCCGATCTTTTTTTATTTGTAAACTTTACAAAATAAGTTAGATGTTTAATGTTTTCTATTGTACCCAATGGTACCAAACATTTGAAAAGAGTGTTTAATCAATATATATGAGTATAGTTTTCGCCATATAAAAATTTAGAATTTATACAAAGTGGTCACATTTATACTTAACATTTAAAACGTATAACAAAAAGTTTTAAAATTTAGATGAATATATTGTTAAACTATAGACGAATAATATTGTTATATTGAACATTAATAAAACATATATAAATACATGCAAATACATACATGCATTTTTATTCTATTTATAATATGCATGCAAATCACGTACAAACTTTTTGAATAATTTTTTATTCGTTAATAATTCAAGTGTTCAAGATATTTTAACGTTACATTGAACGTAGTTCGATTTGTCGTTAAGTCTATGGTTCCTATAAACGATAATTTAAAAGCAGCTTCGGCTTTTATTTGTTCGTGCTAATAAGAGTTTAGACAGTGAAGACAGAAGCGATCCACCGATTAACAAGTTGTTAGAAATCTGTCCTTTCTCGTGAATATCAATCATCAATCAGTTTTATAATCAAGGTATCTTAAAAAATAAATTATAAAAATTAAATAAAACCAATTATTAATCAATCCGATCATTGTGTCATCATGAATGAAAGAATGATCAATGATCCTACATGTTATCATGACGTAAATAATTGATTGTGATTTTATATTTTTATTTATTTAAGTTTTAGCTCACTATAATATAAATAAAGTATAGTCTATAAATATAATATATAATAAAAATATATATTTGTGTCTGATCTTGAATTGCAGTTATCTTGATTTGAGTGTAAAAAAATGTGCCTGACAATAAAAAAGTAGATTAGAAAAATATGCAATCAATTTGTTATGTGTTGATTCACTTTAATGTTAATCAAATGCAGTGTGCTTGTCATTCATACGTGAAATAAAAATAATACAATAAGAAAAAAGAGAATGATGAACTATGATCATTATATTATTTATATTTGATTTTCTGATATAACTTTTTAAGATTCAAATTCTAAAGTGATATATTGTATATACTTGTGCCTATATATAGTATATATTTATTAAGATTGTTAGAGAGACAATCTAAAAATATTAGATTACAAGTCTTTTATTATTAAATTTTGATGATAGATCGTTGAATATATTGCAGTTGAATCATTTCAATTAGTGTGAGTTAATTTTTTGATTTAAAAAAAATCATTATTTTTGTTCATGTATATAAATATATATATATATTACATTTCTCAGATATTTTGAAGATGTCGACGAATGGTACAACTGAGCGAGTTTCTTGTGGCATGGATCTGGCTTTTTCTAGTGATTTGAATAGTGATTTGGATCAATCATTAGATCTGGGTTTTGATTTTATATGTGTACCTATTGTTCATCCTAGGTTAACACGAGACTTTTTTCATGAAAAGGTAAAAAATCGAGTTGGACCACTTAGCAGATCAGATTTTTTATTAAGCAGTCAAGATTGGACAACTTTGATTGTTGCAAAGATAACTCCAACATTACAGTTGGATTCAATGAATGAGATTGTTAGGCATAATGCTGAACATTCTTTCAATCAAGAAGTTGCCCTAGCGAATCATCTTGGTCTGCCTGCCATAATGGTTCAGTTGAAAAATATGAATAATATAAACCTTGCAAGAAACGTTAATGCCATTGCTATTAACTCCCATTTCACTTTATTTTGGGTGAAAGTTCCAATGACAGCTCCAATTGTTCTATGTGATGATATTTTTAATGGTGGTTTGGATTTATCCACTGCTGAAAATTCAAACAATGATTCCTGGAAATGGTGGAATCAGTTGAGAATCTTGTGCAATTACAATAAAAAACTTATTTTAGTTTTAGAGATAACTGCAGATCTGCCATCTGATGCTGAAATCACTCGCTGGTTAGGAGAACCTGTGAAAGCAATTATATTATCCACAAAGTTGTTCTTAACAAACAGAAAAGGTTATCCTGTCTTGCCAAGAAGTCACCAATTATTACTGAAAAAATTTTTCAAACTAGATGTTCAGTTAGTTTTAACTGGCAAAAATCGTCACAAAAGTAAAGGCTTGTCATGTTATAAATTATATTTGGATCATTTATTTCAGCAAAGAGAAATGCCCGATCAAATATCTAAATTTTCTAAGGGATATGAGGATTATCTTCAATGTCCTCTTCAGCCGTTAATGGACAACCTTCAATCACAAACGTATGAAATTTTTGAAAAAGATCCTGTGAAGTACACAAGTTATCAGCAAGCAATTTATTTAGCTCTATTGGACAAGGTCAAAGAGGAATCAAAAGATAAAATAGTTTTAACTGTTATGGTTCTTGGAGCTGGCAGAGGGCCTCTGGTCACAGCAGCATTAAAAGCAGCTGCAGAAGCTAAATGTTTGATTAAGGTTTATGCTGTTGAAAAAAATCCAAATGCTGTTGTTACTCTTGAAAATTTAAAAAGTGACTTTTGGGGTGATAAAGTTACAATAGTTTCTTGTGATATGAGATTTTGGGAACCTAAAGAGAAAGCTGATATTATAATAAGTGAACTTTTGGGTTCTTTTGGTGATAATGAGCTTTCTCCTGAATGTCTAGATGGAGCAGAGAGGTTTTTGAAACCTAAATGTATTAGCATACCATGTTCGTATACATCCTATGTGGCGCCACTTCAATCTTCTAAGTTATGGAATGAAGCTAAGTTATGCAGAGAATCAGGCAAACCTGTAGATTCTCAGTTTGAAACTCCATATGTTGTTCGCTTGCACAATTCACAGTTGATTTCTGATCCTCAACCTCTTTTCACATTCGACCATCCTAGAAGAGATGTTACTGGTTCAAATTTTATCATGATGAAACAAAATTTATCCAATGAACGATATGGTGAGTTAAAGTTTCCAGTTGCTCTTGACACAGTCTTGCATGGGTTTAGTGGTTATTTCCATTGCATCTTATACAAAAATGTGTCAATTAGCATAGTTCCAGACACACATACACCCGGTATGTTCAGTTGGTTTCCAATTTATTTTCCACTCAAAGAACCAATTTTGCTGAAAAAGACTGATATATTAACAGTTCACTTTTGGAGGTTGGTCAACGAAAAAAACGTTTGGTATGAATGGTGCACATCTACTCCTCAACAAACTCATATACATAACCCTAAAGGCAGATCTTATATTATTGGACTTTGATTTAAATCAACTATTAACTGTCGTTCATCCATTTTCTATAGTTGAAATTGCCGTTTATAAATTTTCCTCAAGTTTATGTTGCTTATCCTTGTTCGATGACATCAACTTGTTTTTTTAAATGTTGTATTTTCGTTTTTAAAAAAATATTATACTCAATAAAAAAGACGTTTTTTTCTTTTTAAAAGTTAAATTTATTTTACGGCTCGCAAAACTTTATTCAAAGCGTGAGAATTGGGAAAAAATTATAGAATTTTTTAAGTCTGTAATCAGTGTTCCTTCTAATGGATTGGCTTCGATTTAAACGTTTCTTGATCGGGTGGACTTCGACTGTGGTATTTTATACTGTATATTCTTATCTAAACTTGGAGCAAAAACTTAAATGGCGTTAATCATACATTATAATTAGTGCAACGATCTCTAGTTTGGGTGATTAATTTTCTTATAGCGGAATCAGTGGAAAAACTGCAAACTATTGTTTCCAAACTAGTTTTTGAAAGTGAATAAAAAGGCTTGCAAATTAACATGAACTCCGATTTGCTTCATGATCATGAATGGTAAACAGGTAGAAAGTCAACAGCTTCAATTATCTCAGGTTGTAAATGTGATGTGGATATCAAGCGAAGGATAGCTATGGCGGAAGATACATATTCTACAATGAAAAACGTCCTCACCAACGGTAAAATCAGCACCAACAAAATTAAAACTATTAGGTGGTGTGTTACATTTTTCCCGTGCAGACATGCATCTCTGTCACGAGTCCTGGACAATTTAAAAAAAATGGAAAATGTGGTTTTTGAGAAAAAATAAGAAAATTAATTGAACCTTTCATACCTCCAATAAGGATGTATTAAAACATTATAAAAGGAGGATGCCACAAATAATCCAACACTCCGGTTATAAAAAGAGAAAATTGCTACAAATAATCCAACTGGGGCAGCTAAAGTTTTCGGTCACATCATGCTGAAGGAAAGAATGGAAAATCTAATATACTGGAAAGATTGTAGAGAGGAGAGAGCGCGGTCAACAGCGAATTACATTCGTGAAAAGTTCTTGTGTCATTTGTTGAATAACCCCACATTTTAACTACTAAAAATTGTTAAAGATCGGGTTTTGTGAAGGTCGATGGTCGCCTATGCCCTGAAAGGATAATGCTCGAAAAAGAAGAAGACTTAGTTTCTAGGTCAAATCCTTCAGTTCAGTTCCTATGAGTAATTCGTTGGCTTGATTTATAGCTAGTAATTCCAGATGGCTGTGGTAATGCGTTTTTATTCTTTAACTAAATATTCAATCTGACGGACTCTGCTGAATCTATCAGCCATCAATATCGACATTCATAGGGATAGTGTTGAAAGCCTTGTCAATAACTATATATCACATCATTTTATTTGCATCAATTGACACTGTTTAAAATTAATAAAAATATTTTACTTTCCGCAATTGTTGGTCGAGCTTTGACAGTAACTACTTTTCTACAGCACGCTACGGAAAAATCTTTTGCTATCAAATAAATATATGGAACATCTCGCCTGGTGGAATTCCCCAGAAATCTTTCACGTGAAAGTAAACAGAACATCCTTAAAATTAAAAAAAATAATAGACGAAAGGACGGTCGTCAACTCGTGTTTCGGCAGCTGATCGTTGAGTTCAGCTAATTTAGTTTTGTACGTTCAGATTCTTACCTTATCGGGATCAAAATTCATTAATTTTCAATACCTGTCATTCGTTGCTAATCGAGAAAACTCGTTCTCCGTTATTTGTTTATTTGTAAAATTAGCTAGCGTGGTAAGGTAAGAGATAACATAGCATTAGAATTTAGTAGATAAACTTATAAAGATAAAAAACAAATATCAAACAAACTCTTTGCTTCTTAGTCTTTTTTGAATCGTGTTGGTGTACTAAGTATCTTACCTGTACTGTACCAAGTACCTAAACTGTAATACTAGTCTATAAAAAAAAAGATAAGAACATAAAAATAAATAAATAAGTTTGTACATTGTGTTCTGTATTATTGTCATTGTTTAATATTAAATAATATAATAATACTTTCATTTGAATAAAAAATTAAATTATAAAAGTTTATAATAAGAAAATTGTTAAAACTGCATGACGGTGCAAAACATTTTTTAATTTTATTTAATAATTAGTATATTACAGGCCACAGTTATCTATGGTCCAGTATGTCCTACTAACACAGTTAAGGATCTTTTAAATTTTGGGAATTGACTTTATTTTATGGAATTTTTAAATTAGTGTTCTGTTGTTTTCTACAACTTGCTGCAGAGTAAAAACATCTTATCATATTAAAAAGTGTGTTTGTGTTTGTTTGGTTAGAACTATAACCTGCAATCAGTTTAAAACTAAACCAAGTGTTAGTAATTTTGATTTAATTAATTTGCTTTCACCTACTTTATTTTTTATTGTTTGTCTGTTGCTGTTTCGTTTTATTGTTTTTTTCAAAATTAAATATTGAAATTACATTTCAGGCTGTGTCTTTTAAAATTGATTGTTAAAAGAACGTCAAAATCAAGTTATTCGATTTAATTTATTTTGTTTTTTATAAATTGATTAGACATGAGCTTTAATTTTGTGAACTGTTATGTGTTATAGTATTTAAAATTTAAATATTGAAAAAATTGTTCTAATCATATTAGACTACACATTTTGTTGTTGTGTCATATTTTAGTTTGGTGAATTTTTAATTTTTCTATTGATGTAAAACTTTTTTAAGTTTGGTTTAGTTTGTAATTACGTATTTCTACTGAGATATTTTTTACATACCTTTTTAGGCTGACATGGTGCTATTACTTAACAATATTAAAGTTATTTCCTTTGATATTTATTATTTTCTATACACTTCTTTCTCGTTACCATAGTTTACAAAGTGGTGGATGGTCTGCCTCACTAGCTGTTTCTAATGTAATTGTTATATATACAAAAATCTTCATTGACAAAAAGCACTAAGTCAATTTGCACTATTAATAAATGTTATTATGAAAATATTCACTGAAGTTATGATTATATTAATGTGTATATATAAATATTACTCATACAACCAATTTCAAAAAGGGATTGTTGGTGATAATTGCTGGAAGCCATAATTAAGAGGCTTTAATGAGTGTAGCTAGTTCCTAATTGTACAGTGCAACATTTGGCCCTTGTCATCACATTTAACATAATCACAGAAATGTTTTATAAAGCAATTTAACTAGAGACTAGACTTAATCATCATTTTGTAAAGGATTGTTTATAAGCCTTTTCTCAAAATCTTAACCTGTAACCTTTTACTATAGAGTAATTATTTCACACTTACTATACTTAAATTATCTATATAAAAATTTCGTTTTTAGAACAATGGTGAATTTTTTAATATTTTAATGTAATTAAAATGGAAAGATTCATATCATTTTGCAATTTTTGAACATTATTTAAATAATCTGAAAATGTTTTTAAGTAGTTTTCAATATTATTTAAATAATAATTTCAAACAGTTGAATTATAATCATCGAGTGTGTCAAAAGTTCACAATTCTAAATTTGTAAAACAGTTAACAGGATTAAAAGTTAACAGGGAGAATGTCTTCTTCTGGCAGCATCCCGAAGTTAAGGGTAAACTCGCGTCTGCTGCTCATGAAGGAGAAAGCACTGCAGGAGGAGCACAGGAAGAGGCAAAAGATGGTGGTCTGTCGTTTCTTACTTCACCGACGTTTTAGTAATTTTTAAAACTTTCATGCATTCAACTCAACGAGTGTCAACAGACGTCTCTACTCTGTGATTGAAACCAGAACATAGTTCTTGAATGCTTATTCACTCAAGCCAGTGCTACTTGGCTGTGAAGCCGTGCATAATATTTGTTCTATTTTTTGCATTTGTTTCTGTCATCTCATCTTTTAATTAAATTTTTATACATATTTTTAAATGATTTGCATACATATTTTAAATGATTTGCATACATGATTTAAAAATTGAATCGATGAAAAATATTTGATTCAGTCGAGTCCCCGATCTCACAACAGCCCGCGACCGTGGCCTCAAAATGGAAGCTTCCACAGCACATCACTGAACAGCTCAAGAAATGGCAGCATACTCTCAAATGGTTGGCTGACTCATTTATTTTTCATCAATTTTGATTGGGTCATTATTTTGAAAATCATTTTAATGATTTTGATTTATGAATTTTTTTTCAGCTTTCTTGATTAATGTTTCATGAATTTATTTGGATGGAAAGGAAGATTGAAATGATTGCACAGTAAAACACCACTTATTATTTGGTGATGGCAATGTTAAGGTTCATTACAAGATGGACTGAGTGATTGCTTGGGTATGAATTGGAAATATATTAGGCGAATGATGTATTGAAGCCTGTGACAAACTCAATGAATATAATTTGAAAAATGTTGATTTAAAAAACATGTCAGATCCTTTATATGAGGATTTGGGAAGTTTGGATTTTGCTGCAAGTCCGAGTTCTGTGACGCCAAGCAGCACTGCTACCAGCTTTTCTGAAGTGAGAAACTTAAACCATTTACCAATTGAATGTGTGGTTTTTAACAATTAATTTGTTTAATAATCAAAAGTCTTTCATGATATACCTGGTTGTTTTCTTTAAAAATGTACTCGCTTAATTGCCAGTTTAAGACCCATTTTGTCTTTAGTTCTTGCCTACTTGGTTAAGAATGCGTTTTGCTAGTTTGAAAACGCGGATAGTAATTATAAAGATACTTTTGCTTATGCTCTCTATCATGCATGCCTTTGCTGCTAAATAAATTTATTACTTGAGAAGGTCTCGCTATGTTTTTTGGATAACATTTTATGGAGTTGAGTGTAGAAAAGTATGTAACAACTTAAGAGGTGTTTGAATAACGTTTAGTTGAATATTGTCTACAGGCAATTCAATTAGCCTGGCCTGTTTGCTGCTTCTTTGCTAGGGAACTGTTGTAATTGCTCTGTTGGATTGATCTGACAGTAGATAATTATATTATAGATTTGCAATTAAATGAACAAACAACTATACAATTGTTGCTGCTTGTTAGTTAAATTATTCGTTTTCATTAGTTTATGTTCTGCTGGGTTTATTTTTTATTTTCATTCACTTAGGTTTTTTATTATATTATTTTCGATTTAATATTACACGAAAATAACTCAGAGGATGATGATCGTTATAATGTTTATAACTATTGATGCTAATGTGTCAATATTGAATGTAGTGAAAAAAGTAACCTGAGTTCACCCATCCAGGCATCAAAAGTTGTATTCATACCAATTATCTGCAAAGAACAACAACAACAACAGAATCTAATTTCAATTTCTGAGTGAAACAATTCTAAACTTTCTCATTTATGTTGTTTATCGCTGTTATTCTTATAAAAATTGATATAAAATTTTTTAAAACAGTGCGACGCGTTGTTTGATGACATTAACGACATCGTGATGAAGGAGAAAGGACCCAGCACGTACACTGACCAAGTTAGTCTTCTTTTCTCTTTCACTTTATTTCAATTAATTAGTTGATGAGATCTGATAAGTACGGTTGGTAAAGCAATATTTCGTAACCCAATGTCGTTCAGGTTTTTTTAATGTCTGTCACGCGGCGTGGGGTATGGCATTGTTGTGGAGGAGGGTAGAACTTTTCATTTTATTAACCAACAATACCTGGTGCTGTTCACTTGAGTTTTGACGCATTTCATCAACTTGTTGGCAAGACCGACATTATTTTTGCACCATCACAATAATAATAATAATATTATTATTATTAATAGTAATAATGTTAATAATAATAATAATGATAATAAATGTTATTAGGCTTTTACAAGCCGGACTGAATAACAGGAGACTCAAACATGCTATTTATTTATGCAGATCTTCACAGATGCGTACAACGAGGTGAAAAACGAAAACGATAGTGATAGCAACGGAGCCAGGAGCAACAAGTTACAGTTGAAGGCATCTTCATCGTGTCCCACCATGAGAAACTCTGTGGCAAGTAGATACACCCTCCCCACTAACTTGGACCCAAACGACTTTCCCGATCTTGATTCTTACAAAAAGGAAAAGCACAATATTAGTTGGGATACTTTTCAACATCTTTATTTTTATCGTTATTTCTATCATGTTGTTTTTTAAACATTATGAATTTTAATTCCACAATATTTGTATTCAGTTGAGAAGAAGAGAAGATATAAAATAAATGACTGCATACAGGAACTCGCCCAACTGCTACCTGTCTCCTATGATATGTTAGCTTCATTATTTATTACCATTTTGTTAGCTAGGAGACTCACTGTTCCGTTACATTTTCCCAGAGTATCAACTTTAATGGATTTTTAAATTTTGATAACCATCGTTAGTGTTTAAACCTGTTCTGATGAATAGAGATTTGAACAAGAAGAAGGGTTACATATTGGAGAAGTCAGTTGAGTACATCCAGAAGCTGCAGGCCGACCGAGCCAAGAAGATTGAGTTGGAGAGGAGGCACAGAGAGCTGGAGAAGCAGAACAGGAAATTGTTACTGGAATTACAGGTTTTTCTTGCAGTCGATGACCACTGCTGCTATAATATATAGCGTATAAATGAGGTCACGCTCGTAGTAGTAACAAAATTTAGCCATAAATTTGAATCTTGTATTCATTCATAACATACATTTGGTAGTATTTTCAATTGTTCTGTGTGTGTAGTAACGTATATTAGAATGGAAAATGACGATGGCTTTGTTGATTCGGTGTAAATTTTTAAATTCACATATGCAGGCCATGAAGTTGTCGAAGAATAATTTCCAGAACAGTCCACAACCTCAACTCACCCAACAAAACAACATCTTCCAACAAGTGAACCAGCTTCAACAGAACAGTCAGCAGCAGCAGCAACTACAACAACCACAACAACCAACACCACAAAAAATCATTATTCTGTCTCCTACGTCTTCCAATCAACAACAAGATTCTCACCGTATACAACAACTTCTACAACAGCAACAGCATCAACAACAACAGCAACAATTTCATTCACAAAATATGTACAATGCTATTAATGCACTTAACTTTCCCAGTAACATTACATTCAATAATAATAATAATAACAACAGCATCATCAACAACAACAACAACAACAATAATAATAATAATAATAATAATAATAATTATACCACTGCCTACGATAACAACAGTTTACTGACGAATGATTCTTTGGTGAACCCAACTATCGCGGGATTTTTAAATTCAATATTTTCCGAACAAGAGCCTTCTGCGACTGATTTGGTAAACAACATCGTCGACGACCAATTGACGAACAACCTGCCGATCATGGTCAATGAAATTTCAGAGATGGACAGGGACGAGTTGAATAACATCGTAAATTTTGATGATTTGAGTACTGATGAATTTATTTCCACCGACTTCTCCCTCGCTTCTCAATTTTAAAACCTCTTCACGGCTTTGTTCATGTTTTTGTTCCTCTACTTGCATGTTTCACATTTCATGCCGCCCTTCTTCTCAAGCAATCATGCTGCTTTTTTTTGTTCACACGTCAACAACTTGTCCAAATTAATGCTATTGTTTAAAGGTGTTGAATTCGAATAACGTAGAAATCTTTTTATGTACACAGAGCAGCAGTTGACTTTATTGTTTATTTCACCGGTAGGCGGAGGATTGTTGCCAAATGAAATTTTTCTTGTTGAATCTATTAACGGGAACCATTAGATGACCATAGCAGTTTGTGGCAGGAGCCAGATTACATAAAGATGCCTCTTCTTCAGTTGTGCCTCTGTATATGGATGGAATGGATTTATCTTACTGGGCCTTCAACTTATTTATTGTTATCCTATTTCTTTCTTTCTTATATACTTTTTTTACCTGGAACGTTTAAATTGTTTTGAAACTATCAAAACAGTGTTTTTTAACTAAAGTTTAATCCACATAATAAGGCCATCGTCGTTTGATGTGTTATGGTTGAGTTGGCTTTGGTCAAAAGCAATTATGTAAATTTTATTTTGTTGACATTTTTTCTTCGTTAATGGTAAAGATGACAATTAGTTTCTCAGCGTATACTATGTATATTGAATTCATACGCCATTAATTCAAACATTTATGTTGTTACGCATCTTAGGATTAATAATTATTATTATTATTCTTGTTGTAAATATAATTAGATCGGCAACGTAATTTGTTATTGAATTGAATATTTTTATTGTAACTATGTGTTGAACAATTTTAAAAATTTATAAATAATGTAATTATTTGTATTTTTAACATAGTTACATTTTGTAATTTGCAGTTTTACACTTTTAAACTAATAATTGTTATTTTATCGTAGGTTTAATTCTATTAAAATATTTGTAAGCGTTCGCGTAGTTACGTTTTCTTTTTTGGCTCTTGCCGATCGTCCAAACACAAACTGACATGATCTTCCTCGCCCGTCATTCTGCTCTTGCTTTCTAGGAAGTTTATAATGGCAAGGCTCAGGCCATTCGTAAAACGCTTGGAACTCAAGTCTTAGTCTATTTGCAATTTGAATAAAATTAAAATATTCGTAAACCGATAACGACATGAGGAAGGTGTTAAAACATATAGGACATTTATTAATATCTACGTTGAAGAATTGTAAACTGCAGGATAATATTAACATTTTCACTGTTTAAACGTCGTCGTTTGAAACTCGAAAATAAATTTCAATTTCTGCTATTGCAACGGGTCGTTGGATTAAAATTTAACAGGGTAACGTACATACACGGCAAAACCATATATATATATATATATATATATATATATATATAGAGTATATACATATATTCTATTTACATATATATATGTGGGTAAAACCCATGTGAAACCTAAAATGAAGCTCTCCATTGTACCTGTAGAAACGGAAAGGTGGGCGTGTGCACGTGATCTCTCGTGGTAATTAATACTGCACGCACGCACACATGGACAGACTGATTTATGTTCAGGTTTATTAAATATAATTATCCTCGCTTTGTAAATAGATGAGGGATTGTGCGATATATTGCGTTATTATATAATATATATATATATATATCATATGAATAATAATGAATTGTATTTTCGTTTAGTTTAGGTTTTGGGTTTAGGATTTTGGTTGTTGATGAGAAGGAGAGAAGATCCGTTTGGTTTGGTTTTAGTTGGTTTGTAACTTTGTATGTGCTTCTTCTTTCAATTTTTCAAATGATTACTAATCTATTCTATTCATGCTATTCTTTTTCATTTAATTAAAATTCCGTAATTTGCTTAAACTTTTAAAGCTTTTTTTAGTCACGTTTTATTACATAACTATTACTATAATAATACTACGACAAACGTGTTTACTATGTTTAGTATTTGTATTTTGCGTCAAACAACTTACAGCTGAATGCTGATTTAGTGATAGTGATCCTACCTAATAATATTCCTCACATGCAAAGTTACGTTCAGCCGTTCCTTTTACCAATGAACACAAAGATTATATAAAAATATAATCTATAATTATAAACTATACGCTTATAATAAAGTATATACATATATTATTAATCACAAAAATTATTAATACTCATACCTTGAAACTCTTGAAATTGAAAGCATCCCCTTATTTCGCTGTTACACTTAAGTCTTAAGTTAAGACTTAAGACATAAATAAGAGTTAAGTTTATTTATCTTATTATTTAATTATTAATATATTAAATTTTAATTCCATTGCAGACTGTGGTTGTGCTGGACAACAGTTGAAAACTTTTGTTATTATTCTTGCTTGTTTCCAAGGGGTTGGTTCAGAAGTTTCAGTGAAATAAAATAAACCCACAACTGCAAAGAAGAATTTTTATACAAGAAAATGGTAAAGCCATGGATTGTTTGTTGAAGATAATTTTTTCAAGAATGCGATGATTATTTAATATTTTATTATGTATCAGTTGAATTAAATAATTATTAAATGACATATCAAACACTGGTATTAAATAGATAACCTTTATTTATAATTATAAATAGTTTAATACACTATTGTTTTGACTAAAATTGTTTAATTTAATTGAAAAATTTAAGCAATATTTTAAAAATATGTCGTTTATTACATTGCAGATGCAATTTATGCTTCTGTTCAGCAGACAGGGTAAACTTCGTTTGCAGAAATGGTTTGTTTCCCATCCAGACAAGATGAAGAAAAAAATTACTCGAGAACTTGTTGCTACCATTCTTGCCAGAAAACCAAAAATGTCAAGTTTTATAGAATGGAAAGATTTGAAAATAGTCTATAAGAGGTCTGTCTCCACAGTTATTTATTGCCAAACAAAAGATATTTCAGAGTTATATATTGAAATGTATAACATTTGTTTCAGGTATGCTAGTCTGTATTTTTGTTGCTGTATTGAGAAGGAGGATAATGAATTACTAACACTTGAGATTGTTCACAGATACGTTGAACTGCTTGACAAATACTTTGGAAATGTAAGTCTAACAGTTTCTGTTACAGCTTTTCATGTTGCATTACACTTAGTAACATGGAGATGGGCTGAAGTTTCATCAATCATGAAGACTGTAAAAAGTTGCAACAAGGAATTAGTCTAAACTTTACAAAATTGTGTCTAAGTCATTAGTTAGTTGAACACAAAATTTTTTACTGAGTGTTAATATTCTTTCCTGGATTATTGTCAGGAGTGGCTAAAAGACTTATTTTATCTAATAATATCGTTTTAGTTGTAGATATAAAGTCGTGAATTTCCTAAACTAAATTATTCCAATATGTTATCACGCATATAATATTTTCAGATAGGTTCCTGCTGGCATAGCAATAGCATTTAATATTTAAATAGCTAAAAAAATTTCAAGTGTCTGCAAGTTTATTTACCAACGCTTTGATCTTGCTTCAATTGCTGTATCAAATTTGTAGTCACTTCAATGTTTATTTCATTGGTTGATTCAATTTCATGTTTCAACTTTACTATGAGTTTATAAAACTAATGTAAATTAATATTCTCAAGGTTTGTGAATTAGATATCATCTTCAATTTTGAAAAAGCATATTTCATGTTGGATGAGTTCATTTTAGGAGGGGAGGTTCAAGATTCAAGTAAGAAGAGCATTCTTAATGCCATTGCTCAGATGGATCTTTTGCAAGAGGTTGTCGTTTTAATCTTTTGTTTGCATTTCACGTAAATGTTTAGTTTAATATATAATTTGTTTTTTTTACAATATTACTAGTTTTTACAAATTCAAAGATCATTAATCTTTTAGTCTGATACCTCTTTCTTTTCTAATATAGCAGTTTTTTATGACCGATAAACTAAATGTTAATAGTTTTGGCAGTCATTTAATTATCTCTTGTGTTATGCGTCAACATACACGCCTCAGCCTGGTAACAAATAATCACATTTAACATGATATCTGTGATTAATTTTGTGAGCCTGTGTGGTTAATTGATGATTTCCTATTACTCTTCACATATATCGTTGGCTTCATTTTTTAATATTGTACGTGAACGGTGTATTAACATTCATCTAAATTTTTTTGAAAAATTTACTCTATAACTATTACTTGTCGGTCCTTAATTTTGATCTATATCCTATATATATATATATATATATATATATATATATATTATATATATTATATATTTTATGTACGTCTTATGTACTCTATGCCTGACAGTGACTATTACACCTTTCCTTTTAATCTGAATATTTCGGGTATTAATTCAATTTTTAATTATATTTCTAATTGAAACGTTGAAATGAAATTACGCTGAAAAAGCAACTCTATTTTATTACTGTGTTTTTCATGACAAATTCTTTGAGCTACCATAATTTCTAAGTTATAAATAGTATGAATAGTAATTATCAGCTGAACGTCGTAGGCATACACGCTGAATTGTACACTAATGATGGTGATATTGAATGTCTGTCTATAGCATAGAAAATATCTAATTATACTATTTCATATAGGATAACGAAGACCCGAGCAATATATTCGAAGAATTAGGTTTATACGGATAACTTGCACCTTAAAAATAGACTTTTTACATTTTGTGTTGGGACTTGATGTACAAATTGAAATATTAACTTTTTTTTATTTTCAACCGTAACTTTCACGATTATGTTTTTGTCGGTGGAGGTTTGTGTACCTACAATCTTGAAAAAATATTATAAAATTTGTGACGACACCTACTTATGCTAAATAATAAATTGTACATCATTTTGACATTCACAGTTTTCATTTTTTAGGCTATGATGCATCATCTAGTTCATATTTCATTTCGGTTTTCATGTTTATTCCTTTGGTTATTCTCCGGTTTTATATCGCCTAATTAATTTTTAATGGTAACATTGTATTACATATTAATATATTTATCTTTTTACATATATATAATAAATGAATAATATATAAATGAATATTTGTATGCATTTAGATGTTATATGTTGTACACAGTTTATAATTTGTTTTAAGAATAAATTAATACTGCAACCAGGATGACATATTTTAGGTTTGGTTTTGATAATTTTAATCAAACAGGGAGGTGGTGGTGGTAACAGAACCCAATTGCTACAAGAGGATGATCTTTAATAGTGCTTTAAACTTTTCTTCACATTTGACGATTTAGCGATTTTATCCATAAAACCTGTTATTTTATTTTTTCTATGCGAACCGTTTTTTTTTTGTTTCGTATTTTCATTTTCAAAGTACTGATTGACCTTAACGTCATTTTAGACCTATTCATGTGCACTTATTTCAAATATTTCTTGTTGAAGAGTCAGTCCATGCAATGTAATTTGTTACTGTTTTTTAATATAAATCTTTATTTATGTTAGTCATTATAAACAAATAAATATATATATATATTATTTATTTATGTATTATTTGTTTATTTATATAAGAATTTAACTGATTTACGTTGAAACATTTATAGAGCTTGGCTATGATTTTTAACTAAGTTTTTTTGGCACTGTATTAAATATTCTTCTTTAAGGGAATCTGTTTTATCTGAATAACTTTTGTTGTTTAAATTGGTCTGCCTGTAATTTCAGTTTTCTATGTCTATGATCTCCATATTTGCTTCGTAGTTAGGATAGATTAGTGTTCAATTTTGCCTAATTATAACTCTTCATCATGTTATTTAAATTTATGTTTCAAATTTTATTTTCTACGAATATTTTTCAAACTAGGACCATGGTTCGCAGAATTTATTTCTTGATGATGGTGGTATATAATCGGATGGTTGGTGGTTGGTTGGTTGGTCTTTGTTACGCTGCAGTTTATAACTTCTATTTCATACTTCAGCTTTATATTCATTTACTCGCTTTTCTGATTAAAAAATTCTTGATCTATTCTACATCGTATTTTTAATATTTAACCAGATCAATATAGAACAGAGTGTTATGCTTAAATAATATAATTTATTGTATTAAACATTTTATTTTAACTGAAGTTATGTCATCATTTATTATTGATCAAAAAATGCTTATTCTAATCTTAATATAACAAACAAAATGTAATTGTTTGATGATCCAACTAGCATTTTGTTTGTTATTGTGCATCATATGCTTCTCACTGCGTTTTTCCATATTTGTCCTATGTTGTCGGGCGTGCTTGACTAGTAACGCTCATCTTAACATGATTTTGTCGTTTGGTAATTATACGTTCATGGATCTTGTGAGTTTTGGAGAAAATTTTTATTTTGAACAATTTTATCTGAGGGGTTGCTGATGAATAATTAAAATGTCAAAAATTTGAGTCAACTACATTATTAACAAAAAGCGAACGGAAGAGTCAAGATTTATATAGAGTGATTAGAGCGTGGACTCCTCCAAAAGTTGCAGGCAAATTTTAGCGTATTTCAAACAGATTGTTTTGCGATGCATTATTAAAACGGTATGCTTGTCAAAACGAACAAAAATTAAATTCCAATCATGCCTGTCAAAACGTCAGGCTTAAAATAATTATTTGTATACTGATAAAACATAAAGCATATATAAAGCAATTACATTTTGAAGAAGGACTCGCGACAACGACAGCCTGTAAAGTAATTTTCACATGCGTAAAGTATACGAGACAAATGGAGCATCGATTTGGTCAAATACATTCGATTTGATAATTTAGACTCTTTTATATACGATATCTTTAACAAAATTATAATGAACTATTTATTACATCTTCAACATCGAGTCCCATTGTCCATTGAAGATCTAGTCATTGTAGTTATCTATTAACATTAAGGCACATTTCGCATATTAACGTATAATTATTTATGTTGATTAAGTTAACGAATGAATATAATAATCCAAGAATAAAACTAACTGAAACATTTAAAATGTTTTAAGAGTTATATATATCGTTGTGAGAAATCGTGCAAGAGTTGTGCAAAACAAGTTTCTGTAAGTAACGAAAAATATTCTTATTGGTCAGAGTTTCTATTTTATATATATGTCCGTGCATTTAGTTTTTATAGGAATTGAAATATAATTTACATAAATGTTCACCTAGAAACATTTGCGCCATTAAAACTGTATTTTATCAGTTGCGATCATGGATATAATTATATTATATATATTCATGTTTGCGATCTGATAACCCTGACGTTCTTTATACCACTAATTATAATAAATGCATGACATTCCACCCATGAAGTTTATTATATGAAGAATATACGGGGCCATTTTATACCATATCCTAATGAAGGATAGTGATGAAGCAGCACCACGATGTTTGATCTTTAAACTGTGACAAATTAAATAGATTTTTAAATAATAACTTTCTACGTAATTAAATGATGAATCTCTTTGAGATTTTTGAAAATATCATGCAGTAATGTAATGGAACGAAATGTCTCATGGACGAAAATGACGTAAACATGTCGAACTGATACCATGACACTGTAATATTACAAACATGTTGTTTTTGTTTGGCAGCCTATTCAGATGCACCTGACGATGTCTCATTCAATGGTTAGTTAGCTCTTAGTATTAAATGTTCAGTGGGTGGTTACGTAATCTGTGTGTAAAATGAATACTGTATTCATTTATGTTATGTTATATGTTATGCATGTGTATTGTGTATTCATTGTATTGTATGCATGTGTGTGTGTGTGTGTGTGTGTGTTTGTGTGTGTGTGTGTGTGTGTATTGTATTGTATATGTTTGTTTTGTGCGCATATAAAAATATAAAAGATATATTTATATTTATGTGTATAACTGTGTATACATTGTATGTATTGTATATGTATGTATGTGTGTGAATGTATGTAGGAGTATGATTATACTAAAACTAAAAGTATGTGTAAGTGTGTGTAACTATTAAATAAATTAGTACTATAAAAATAAATAATATAAAGAAGTGAGAATGACTTGCATTTGATTTTGGTGGCTTGAAGAATATACTTCACAATAATTTTGATAATTAAACTTTACACTTTCTTGATCTTTTAATAGATCATATTATATATAAATTATAATTTGGTTGGCATTTTGAGTGTAATACACACATACTTGTTGTATATTTTAGAAATTCTGTTACAAAGTTCTTTTTGATGAAATGTCACTTTATTTTATTAATTATTTGTTTGTTAATCATTACTACACTACACTACACGTACAGCTAGCAGCATACATACTTGGTAGATAGATAGGCTACTTGTACTGTACATTGATTTGATCTTTTGATGCATATTAAAATTGAATTAATTTTACATTACATACTAAACAAACATATTACAAAGAGTGTTTAATATTAAATATTATTTTATAATTTATATTACAACAATAATTAGTTTTTTTTCATCTAAAAGTTGTGAATTACAAATTCAGAAGCGGAATCACTAATAAGAAGAAGAATGAACAACAAACTTTTTTTGACATGCCCCTCCATGATCATTAAAACTGGCAACACTGTAAATTGGGAGATCTTGAAGAGAAATGCTGGACAGACTGCCACTGAGGAGGTATTGAACTTGTCTGGTATGTCTTGTGTTGTACCTTGTACCATGTACTTCAGAAAGTGGTGCATGTATGTAGCAATGTAATACAATATCTGTACTGTATAATTAACTCATTTAAGATGAGGGATATTGCATCATTAACCTACTTTTTGTTATTTAATTAGTGTGGGTTTTAAACTATTAAATAATGAAAGTTTAAAAAATATTAATTATTTCTAATTTTTAAAAGCTGGAACAGTGTCTCAATGTGACAATTGACTCTTGGCTGGAGTGTAATAACTCAAAAATCAAAGAAAAAGATGTCAGCTAAAGATAATTAATCTTTTATTAGTTTATTATCCTGACATAAATTTATTTTTATTAAAATAGTTTTTAAATTTTTTTCATCTGATCATGCGCATTATTTAATTAAAATATTTAAAAAATTTTTCAGTTTCAGAAAGAAATTGTCATCAACAAATCTTCTTGCAAGGATAATTTAAAATGTGAAGAGAGAAATGAATTAAAAATTACGGGTTGGTGCATTCTTTATAAATAGAAATTTCTAAAAATCACCACCATTTTAAATTCTCACCGATTATTGAATGGTGTATAGTATAAGTTTGCTGAAGTAACACTGGGTTGACCTGTGATTCTCACTGGTGTTTTTATCATTTACAATGATTTTTATATATTTAATTTTTCTCTCAAATATTCCCATCTCCTTGAATGTTTAATTAATATTCATTTTTTCACTCATTTTTATTCTTTCATTCATTTTCTTCTTACAGTGAAAATTTTTCTAAAAGAAGCCAATGAACAATTAGTCTCTGATGCACTCGAAACAAGTAGAGATAATTTAATTTTTGTTCTTCGAAAGTCTGTCAAATTAAAGCTTCAAATTTTTAAATTAATGACATCCTAAAAAACTACAGCTCTAAATGAGATGGGAATTTGCTCCGTAGAGACGGTCATATTATCTTTCAAACCAGTGTCTGATGAAGATGTCTACCTCAATAGTTTGAAAAAACTCTGGAAGGTTCTGGAATCTCTTGTTGGGAAAGGACTTGTCTATACACTGGGTGTTTGCGACTTGAATATAAACCACTTACAAACCCTTTATGAGTGGGCAGAGGTTTTAACTTCCTTATAATCTTCTTGGTTATTGCCATTTACATTGCAGGTAATGGTATGGTTGTAATAATTATTTTCTTCGATGAATTACTCAGGGGTATCTGTGGTCACTCATTAAATGTTACTATAGTTAATATTGTAATAACAATTATTATTTATTTAAATAAAACATGAAAGCTAACAGGATAACTTTTACAATGGTTTCTGTTGTCTAGTTATAAATTCTGAATTTAAAAAATAAAATTTTTTTTTCTTCATGTATTAAAATAATCTGTTGTTTATCAATGTCAGTTGTGCATAAAGTTTTTTTAACAGACGTCTTCACCATTTCACACACACTCGCATGATTTAATGTGCGTCACTTGTCTGTGACAACTCAATGCAGTCTGACCCACACTTTAACTCTTTCTCTTCTAAACTATTAAAAAACTTTCGGTGTTTTTTCTTATTCATGTGTCTATTTGTTCGTTGGCAGTCAGTGTATTAAATAACATCAGGAATATTAATTAACATCTTGAATGCTAATTAACATAATGAATATTAGTTAATATCATGAATATTAGTTAACATCATGAATATTAGTTAACATCATGAATATTAGTTAACATCATTAATATTAATTGTTGTATGCAGATTAAGCCGATCATCAACCAGATGAATCTGGCCAATTGTTGCGTCATACCTCCTGAGATGTCCCAGTATGCCCAAAATAAAGAAATACAACTCCTCACTCACTCTGATCCCGTCGGTTAGTTCTTCTTTGCCCATTATTTCAACGTGTAGACTACTTCCAGGTCACATGATATACGGTCACATGATATACGGTCACGTGATATACGGTCACGTGATATACGGTCACATGATATACGGTCACATGATATATAGTCTCATGATATACGGTCACACGATATATAGTCACATAATATAAGGTCACATATTATGCAATCATATTTCATTATGTGATTATATTGATATTATTGAGATAATCTAATTGTCTGTTAAGGTTGTAGACAACGTTTTGACATTTTTCACATTAATCTGATTTTAATATTTATTGTGGTAAGCTCTTCAATGAAATTGAATTTTTTAGTTTTCAATCCACAAGTGTATTATAAATAAAAGAAGACCATATATTGATTTTATTTCAGAAATTTTATCTGACGAGGCTTTGCAGGAGCTGTTGGTCTCAAAATTTGCCGTTCATTCGTCGTTGTTACCACCATCATCGCCCCCACAGCCGTCACCCTCTGATTATGATTGGAAGGTTCAGTGGGTCAGTAGGTACTCTGTCCTCATCAAGTGCAGGGGCATCATCAAGTCAAAGGGATTTGCCGTCAAGGCGAAAAACTCGAAAAAATGAAATTAAAAAATGTTTGCTATTTTTATTTTTGTTATGAATGAAAAAATGGAATAAAATTGTTAATAACAGCGTTCATTCGTAACATTACTACTGTTGTCACCGTTAGCCGTCGTTCGTTCAAATGACTGAGTTTATGTATTTTGTTATCGATTTTACATTTCATAGATGTCTAAATGAGTCTTGTATCAGGATATATTTAATAAACGATTGGTTTAAGATAAAATGATTCACGTGCCTGTCTGTGACTCAGGTTTTTCAGGACACTGCCGATAAAAAGATTTCACGTACATATGGGGTAAGTTGTTTTATTTCAAGAGTTTTTTTATTGGTTTCCGCGCCTACCATGCTCATGACTGGTTAAATTGCTTATTCTTGGTATGGCATCAATCATGCTACATTATCCTTCTTCTGACACCTATCTTGCCGTTCGCTGTTAACCAAATGTCAACAATCTCTGGCAAGTTTACATATAATGCGGTTTTTAAATTTACTGCCTCGCCAAGAAGGAATTTTTGTGGCATGGTAGCAAGTAGCACCACTTCAGATGGCAAACAAATGGTAAGATGATGGATGTATGCATGTATGTATGGAGGATATAGTACAGTTATGCATATTCTGTTCATACATTCGAGGATTTTTAATAAATTTTATTTCCATTTTTATTCAGTTTTCTTATCATTTTCTCTCTTTTTTTGTTATATTTATGCTTTACGTGTTGTTCCGTCCTCTATGGTTGTCAGATTTGATATGTAAAAAATAAATCTATGCACCTATATATTTAATTTTTTCAAACACGCGTAGGTGAGCATTTTTTAAAAATCGATTTACATTCGTAGACGTTTGTTACATACAGAATAAAAAACTTGATAAATACAACGTACAACATTTAATTATAACAGTTTGCCAGTCTCCCTCATGATAGTGACTTGTCATGGTTTCAGACAGAAGATCAATACGTACAGGAAAGTTTTTTGTATATAATTATTAAATTTGAGCGCGTTTTACGGCTTCTGTTGGAATGCATCAGTCATACCTGGCGTTGTACATTATCTTCTGATTACTGACTGCTCCTACTTAGAATTAAATCCGATTAAACGTTTTATTTAAATTAAATTAATCGAGTTTGGTAATGTGTGTGAAGCTTTCGGCGTACATTATATTGGTCATAATGAAGTTAATTTACCAGTGTATATTGTATGGTTTGCTGGTATGATGTCACTCCAAAAGATAATAATTCAGCAAAGTTCTAGTTTGGTTAAAAATATGTTGAGTAGAAAAACAGCCTTCCGTTCGGAGATGTCAAGGCGATAGATGATAGTGCACTGCAGCTGTATGCGATAGTGCACTGCAGCTGTATGCAACTAATATCTTTGTATGTTGAAATAGTCAACTGACACTTTCTATTCGGTTGTCAATGTTTGCAAATTTATAATGTCGCTGTGATTTTGATGATTGAAACTGGATAATAATATCATTAAAAATTTCGTAGTTTCCATAAGAGAGCACGAACGTGAATAACGCATACTTAGCCTTCCAGATTCTGTGAACCGGCGTCTTCCGCAATAAAATCCCGCAATCAAACCACTGAACAAATTTGCAGTTAAATCAATCGACATGATTTCAAAAGTTCGTGTGATTGCATGAAAAGTATGCACAGCACACCTGCATCTCTGCAAATGCATTCCGCTGCCTTCCATCCTACTCAGGTGTTTCATTTCCTTTAAGGATGGCACATCAATCGTAATTACTAATATTTTCACGTTGTAATGTTTTATATTATAAAATTTTTGAGTACTGGTAACAATTCTGGGTTTCATTTATAAAATGTGATTATAGTTGGTACATTTTTTCTTATTAATTCTTGTTAGTATATGTGCGAATGCTTGGAAAATTTTAAGCATTACAAAAAATAACATATCTCACTTTTGATATTTTTAATTCTCGTTTAATTCTTCCAATGAAAAGAGGTTGAGTTTGATGAAAATTAACAAAACAAATAATACCAATTACTTCAGTTTTGCTAAATATTATTTTCTCGACTGCTCCAAACAGTGATCTTGATATTTTGTTTCCATCTCGTCCATTTTTAATTTACCAAGCTACGGAGACGCATTTATTTTTAAACTTGAAATGATTTGAATTGAAATATGCAATTTGAATCGCTGCAAGTTCATAAGTTTATAGAAAACATACGAAGGAACGCATTGAGAGGATGCTATGGACTAGCTGAACGACCAGATGAAGCGCATGTTTCCCGGCATCATATAAATAAAGCAAGCATGTACCGTTCGTCAAAGCTAACAAACGTCGATAATGAAACATTTATAATCTACAGTTGAATTGAATTTGAAATTTTTATATGCCAACGTCACGTTATTTTGTTTATGTTTTTATTTACACCCATTAAAACATTATGGAGTAAATTTTAACATGGATTACAATAAAGCAAAATATGATCTTCAGAACACTCAAAGCGTCACATTTTTAATTCAAATAATTGAAGAAATGATTAGTTCAGAACTTTGTTTGCATTGCTATTATAAAAGTTTTTCTTTAAGGTTATGCTGTGAATGCAAACTGAATTTTTGTTGATTTTATAAAATAAAACATGCGTTCTTTTTAAAACGTCCTTTACATTTTTTTAACAAAGAAGGGTAAACTTATAAATAAATAGCTGGATTCATTCACAGTTCTCCAAATGCAAGCCACATAAAATCCATCAAGCCAAGTGCTCCGCCTTATCCATGAAAATAACCATACACAACAATCTACTCAAGAAAACAACTCGGTGAATAATAAATGCTCGGATTCTTAATTTGTTGAATATCAAAGTCGAAGCGCAAAACAATTGGCTGATGGCCGAGTTCGAAGAGAATGCATCAGCGATCCAGGAGAGAATGAAGTTGAACAATTTCTTAACTCGGAAGGAGAACATCAAACACGGAACCAGCATCAGGCGGATGGATCACATATTAAAAACAAATAACATACTTACCTTCATGTGGACGTGGGTAGACATGTTGTTCAGTGTCACGTTGTTTCCATTCACATTTTTGTTCGTCTGCATTTTATTGCCGTGTGTTCGACTATGCACTTGTGGTCTCAATGCGATAGTTCGTTTTTATCATTATGTAAAAACGAATGACCCAAAAACTCATTCAATGGAAAAAATGACTGGCAACGAATTTTTCTGGTTAGCACCGAGCGACAATGAAAGAACACATTTTTTAAATGTCAGGATATCCAGCAACACGGTGGTAGCCATAACAATTCAGATGGTACAAAAAGCGTCAGATCCTATTCTGAATTATGAAACGTTTAAAGAAATACTTCTGGAAAGGGTCGTATACTTTATGAAAGAAGATTCCAATAAACATGTTTTTCCAAGGTTTACGATGAGAATTAGGAATTTGCCGTTTGGAAAGATGTGGATTAAAGCAAATAATTTCAACATCAATGATCACGTTTTTGAGGTATTTTAAGACCAAGTAAAAGTTTGTTTTAAAAAATTGAAGGGTAATATTAAAATTTGTTCAAAATTTGTATATAACCATATTTAGGACATTTAAAAGCTCACTTTTAATGGAAACGAAAAAAGAAAGATTTTTTTTAAATAAATAGATTTTTAAGTCCCTGCATTGTTTTTAAAACCATTTATAGGCTAAAAATTTTGAGTAAATGAAAACCAGGTTTTTATAAAACATGCATTTGCTGATGGGCCAACCACGTTTTGAGTTTTTATGACCTTGGATAGTACACGGGCTCAAAAATTGTAAATGTTCCATTTGATCAAAATAAAACCTGAACTCAAATAACTAAAAAGCACAAATTAATTTTTATATTCAGGATTAGTAAGTTTTACATATGTAAGTTTATTTAACCGAATGATCTCTCATTGAAATACATTCATTGTGAAAAAAAATACTTTTGTACAAATTTAAGCAATCGCATCATGAATATTTATATGCTTAGATATTTTAATATTCAAATAATTTTTTACAAAAAAATTTCATTTGTTGAAATAGCACACTTAATTTGAAATGACTCATTTTTATAACTATTTTGCTACCTTTTTGTGTGGTTAAATTAGAAATGGGAAAAACACCAGATGAGTGTTTTTATATTGTGGGATAGAGATACTATAGTTTTTTTTCTTTTTAATCAAGATTATCAAAATTATTTATTCTGAATCAAAATTGAATGAATAAAGTATATGTTTCTATGTTCATTCATGTTTAATAAATAGAATTTTTTTAAATCAGCATTGTTTTAAATGCTTATAAATTTTGTACTTTGCAAAGTGCTCAGAAGAGATAAATTCTGCTACAGATCTACTGAACATGGCTTCTTACCTGGCCTCAGAACCTTTCGACAAGAAGAAACCTCGATGGAAAGTAAATTTCATTTTCAACTACCCCAAAAATTTGAACACGATATTGTTCTCGTGTGACCCGGCGATGGCTGACGGCATATACCTGATGCACGTTTTGCAAGATGCTCTCGTTGATCCCGTACCCCTAGGTTTTGGTAGGAGGCACTATGGAGCCTGTAACCAGGACGTCGATACCTTCCGATCCATTATTGGAGGTTAACAATTTTTAAACATCTCTTTAGCAAATTAGTAGCTTTCCTAGCACAATTTTTTGTCTCCTGTTGTAGCTACCGGCTTAACATATAAATACGCACTGATCGATTCTGGTTCTTTAAAAGCTAACATTTTATAATATGTTTAAATTTATTATGAGTTTGTGCGTACATAAAAATGTGTGTTCACATTGCAAATATGAAACATAAAGAATAAAATTAATAAGAATGTTAAACTTGGTTTGAAATTACACTTTTTATTCCGCTTAGAAATTACATTTCTATTCCTCGAATTTTTATCGTATCAATGTAGCCTTTGTTTCTAAAGTTTCTGTGAGGTTGACGCTGGTTTTGAAATAAAATTATTTTCTAAATTTTTAATGCTGAACGCCATTTTATATTTTTAAAACAGGATTGACGTGGTTCTGCAGAAATTTTTTTACATTCAAGGATAAAAATAAAATGTTTAAAAAAAGGAAATTCAGTTTACAAAGCCAAAATCTATCAAAAGATGAGAAAAAGAGAAACACACCACGCGTGCAGGATACTTCGAATCAATCGAGAGACTCCAGTCTTCATGACAATACTCGCTACGAATCAAACAAACGAAAACTTCTTGTTTACGGGCCGATAACGATGCAACCTTTTCTAACGTTTCGCGACGTGACACGAGCCACGTTGGATGAACTGATGCTAACGTTGTTAACATCGAGTTTGCGAGAATATCTGCAGCATATTCACGGATTCATCAATCCACACGACGTAGCGGCAAATATTTCTGTAGCTCTTCAGAACCTTTTACCCCAAAAACGAGATCCCGACAACGATGTTAGTAGTAGCAGAGATCAAGTCGAGAGTACATCCTATGCTTCAGAATCTAATCGCAGCGGTGAAAATAATAATGAAAACCACGATAAATTATTAGGACAGTGTGACACTAGTGATACGCCAAGCGAGGATTCACAGATTCCTGTTTTATCTCCGTTCAGCTACAAGTTAAGTAATTTAATAGCACAAAAAATACAACCCTCCTCACCAAAGAAAATTGAACCACACAAATCAAAAAGAAGAAAAAAATCACCAATAAAAAAAGAAAGAATTCCATCACCAAAAAAAACTTACAATAGTAAAGAAATATTATTAAATCCTCTACGGCTTTTAAAGCAAACAGAAGACGATGAACAAACATCGGTAACAATCCACACTCATATACCATCGACACAGCTGACACAAAATCACGAGCTATCACGACAAAATGATGAAGAAATAGAAAAAGAAGAAACGCCGCAAAAAGAAATACGCCATTTAACCACCACTCTTTCGACACCGCAATCACCAAGAAAAATAATAAAAGCGCATCGATCATTTTCTAATCCTAATCCTTCGTTTGTTAACTGGTCATCGAAACGGTTTAAATTTTTACGATCCAAAAATTCAAAAAACGATGTAGACAATGAAAACAACAACGTAAACACAGATGATAAGCCGATAGGTTTTGCGAGAACAATTGCCACACCTCCCAATTTGAACTTTCGCCCATCGGCCATTCATTTCACCTACGTTTCTAACACCAATCAAGATGTCATCAATCCTTCCCACAAATTCAAAATCTCATTTTTAAAATTGTGGCTCCCAACCAGCGTCGAAGGTGTCGTCCCACAACTCTGGCATCTTAAAAATCGACTTTTAGAGGTGACCATTGATTTTCTTTTGTAGAAATAAAAAGTAAATGATTAGTCTACTTTTAAGTATAATTAAAACAACATATAGTATAAATTATTTACCTATTATAAATTGCAAACAAATTTGGTTCCACAAATTGTGAACATTTTTTTAAAATCAAAAATGTTCCTTTAAAAATCTCTGTAATCCTTTGTTATATTATGGGTATCTTGGCTGTGTTTATCTCTTACAACTTATAAATAATGGGACAAAAAAGATTTTTGTCGTGAGGTGTCGTTATGTTTTAAATTTTTGGCCTCTTAAAAATGAACCACCTACATTCAAGTAATTTTTCTAATCGTTTCTTTCTCACACAGCATTCGTGATAGTCATTCTCCGTTCTTATGTTTTTGTACTTTTATTCAGTTTACTCGAATGATAGTTTTATTTCTTCCTTTTGTCACTGTAAACTTTATTTTTGTTGTATTTGCATAATGTTAAGCCTGTTATTAAAAATTCTGCTTTGTCAGATTTCGACATTTAATGTGGCAATGAGATTTTACGTTCCTACTTACGAAGCCTATCCAACAACAATTAATTATATTATGATACCATATTTTGTTAAATTATAATATTAGCAATGGCTGATATTATAATTTAGCAAAATAATGTTTCATTGCTAATTAGAAATAACAAATTATTTAAACTAGTTTTAAAATGAAATGTAATATTTTATAAAATTATTCAAAGGCGAAAATTGAGCCGGGTCACATGATGTTTTACAAGTGTTGCCAGATATTGAACAGTCTCCTCCCACAATGCATAGCTGGATGGCTATTCAGAAAAATCTACGGCCAACCGTCCGTTGCTTATAACAGCTGTATCGGTCCGGAGACACAAATGTGCATTGACACCAAACCCATACGAAATATTTTCTTCTGGGGCCCTTTAAAAACCAATAATTGTTTGGGGTTTTCATTAATGACCTATCAAAGTAGTATTACAATAACGTTAAATGCCAATGAAAATCTCGCTAATCCAGAACTGATTTTTGATTTCTTTGTTAAAAAGGTAAATATTGCGTTCATTAAGCGATTTTAATATTCAACTCATAATGATATTTTGCAAATTTTGAATATCATTTAGTTAGCCGACCTGAAAGAATTGTTAAAAAACAGACGAGTAAAACACCAGCCTCGGTTCGATACCATCTTCGTTCCTTTCAGTAAAATGAAGATGACAAAGAAAACCAAGGTATGCTGATTTGTTTTTAAAAATTTTATTTTCTTAGTCAGTAGGAATTTATTACTTTTGAATTCTCTTTCCAATTTTACACACGTTCGGTTATCAAACATCTCATTACCATACAGTTGTTTTTTACTGAGCCAAAAGCACGCACATTAGAAACACGCAATCTGTTTATCTTGGTTTTCTTCTTTTTGTTAATTTTGTTCTGTAGTTCTTTAAAAATACTACTTCTTTTCCTCTCTTCTTATATTGGGGCACCCCAATAGTCTATCCTCTGTCCTATTAATTTTACTTTTTATATCACCGAACTGAACTACCTCGTTTTATTAAACAATTATTCTTTTGTTAGTTGAATGATATGTTGATGATCATATCAATATATTTTTTCTCCATTACCATTTTATTTCATTGGTTATAATTGCCTAAGTAGCGGGATAGCCTTTAAAAAACTCTCGAATGCTCATCTAGAGCTGCAGCTAGACAAGAAATCACATTAAACGAAACAGAATTAATATATCTATCAGTCCTTCAAATTTAAATATTGTTCTTTACAATTTATTTTTATGTCTTTCCTTTCATTTACCGTTTGCAGTAATTCAATGTTTTGATCTAAATCCTTCTAATTTCAATAAGACATGTTTTAATATGTTAAAAAAAAACTTTATTCTCCTTATTGATATCCCGCCTTAGTCACAAGGTCTTGATTTTTTTCATAACAATCAATTTCGAAGTCTTGTTAGTGTCGTCAGGGTTAGCATGGCCCCTACCAATCATTAACGTGTGTAATCCGTATTCGCATAATCTCATAAGAATTAATCTCATAAGAAAAAATTGTAATTTTGTATTACAGTTAACTGTAATACAAAATTACAAAACTTGAATAAATTCAACGAGTGTGTGTGCCATATAGATCATTATGAATCCTCAACACATAGTTGACAAACACACGCATGCACACATACAATCACACTCATACACACATGAAAATTCACACACCTACAAACACACAGTGCGCATGTATAATTTAGCTCACGTTAATGACAGCATTATTTAGAAGACGAAACCGGGGAAAAGTATGAATTCAGAAACCTGAGGGCGAGTCGGAAGAGGTCATTTTATAAGCAGTCAAAAACGAGGGCTTCCATGGTCACCATCGCCACCCTAGCTGGTCCCCAGAATCCAGACTCTTAGTTTGCATCACAAAATTTTCGTTATATTCCTTTTTTTGACATTTTCTAACTTATATATACAATTAAATATTCATATATTGTTTTTAATCATAAAACAACTGGAATGATTTATGTACGTCAGCAGGAATGTATTCTTGAAGTTATAATATAAGTTCCTTTTAAATATTTTATTACAGAACTGATTGCTTTATTGTGTCCTCAATTTTAGAAAAAACTAACCTTAAATAACTTGCAAATAAATAAATTATATCTTGCTAAGGTTGTTTTCATAAACGTAATACAATTGGCTCAGCTACAAAATATATGTTGTGGTTAATATTTAAGTGCTGAGAAATAAAATCATTTAAAATTAATCAGACAACAACACTCAAACAAAACGTAAAATAATTTAACGGCAGAATTCATTTTTTTGTTCAACGTTATTATTGAAAATATTTTATCAATAAAACAAGCAAAAGCGTCGTCTATAATCATTTAATTGTTAAATTAAATACCAAATAATAAATTGATATTCTCTTGATGTTCAATCAATCAGCCCAATAGTTTCTCCGTCAACAAGTTTTCTTAGTCTGTCGGTCAGTCGGTCAGCCAGTCATTCAATCAGCCAATCGGTCAGACGGTCAACCAGGAGTTCAACCAGTCAGCTGTCATTACCAACCAACCAATAATTAAATCAATCAATCAGTCGGTCTTTTTATTGAATGATTTTTTTCTGAAATTTTATTTTCCACATAGAAATTGTGAAATGAAAAGTTTCGAAGCTGTTTGCGCCAAGTTTAAATAAAGTTAACCGTCCATTGCTATAAAATGAAAGTTGTGATTAATCTGAATTTTTAAAAATACTTATTATTTAAGTAAATAAAATAGTTGTTAAAAATAACTCTCCATTATGTTAAGATTGACGGTCCAATTTATGATATTTTACTCAACATTGATTGATCTGATTGGTTTATTGATCTGATTGGTTGACCGACTGAATTCCAACGACCGATCTGCCAAATGACCAACCTGCCATATGACCGACTGACTGGTTGAATTATTGATCAGCCAATTGGCTTGCTCAGTAGCCTATTTGATACACACTGACATGCATTAAACTTGGTTTGAATGCAATGAAAACCCATCCGTTTAAAAGTTTGACATATTTTGTGCACGTATGCTAAAATGTACGCTACCTGGTTTTAAATCATTAATAAGCTCTCTCTAGCAATACGTAAATCGATGGTTGATTAAACGATTGGTTGATTGATTGATCCACAAAACACCACACAACAAAACAATTCTGTTCTTTCAAAGATACTGTGATGCAATGGTTTGCAGTATCTTTATTTTTATTGTAATGTTGTTTGTATAATAAATTGTTAATTAAACAGAATCCATTTTCATTAATTGTCATATTATTTTGGTTTCGTTGAACTTGTTAGCCCTATAATTATATGTAAATTAATTATTTGTATTGTATGATGTTGCCCTCTTGTCCTGCTAAATACTACTAAAGAAATAATAATGAACTAAGGAAGCACATTCCCATTATTCTGTTTGGGATTTCCGAGATTTCTCAATTCCCATGATCAAGGAAGTGATGTCGTTTCGGTTTATGAATTATTTCCGATATTTTATAACTTTCTAGCTTGCTTCCGAAAATAAATTTTAATGTTTTTAAGTTTTGCTTTTTAATTTTAATTGTGTTTTATTTTGCAATTTAAAAGACATTATGGTAAAAAAAAATAATAAAACTTTACACTTGAAAATTAAAATTAATTAAATTAAAATTCTAAAAAAACTAAATTATTAAACTAGCTAACACAATGATAATTTTTAACAACGTGAGACGTTCATCGTTCATTCTGTTCATAATATTTTGTTTGGTTTCGAAATCTTACACCTCATCTTGTAGGGATGTGAACAACAAGCCCATTGATTGGTTTGATTGACCATTTTTTCCTTGAATTCAGAAAATTATCATCTTGTTAATGTTAATTGCTCTAGTAACCAATAGCAATAAATATACTATTAATTTAATATTTGTATTTTTTATTAAGACTTGTATTGTATAAATTAATTTAATTCATTATTTAATTATTTGGTCTAGTTTTTTTAACCACTCTGACTGGTAACAGCATTATCCATCTATCAATTACGAAATATTAAGCTGCTTTAATAGTGGATAGCATTGATATGATTATATTATATTATGCTATAATTATAATTGAATGACAATTGTATTTTAATTAAAATTATGGGTTAAAATATCAATATATATTTTTTTAATAATGATCTTTTTCATTGTTTTATTATCTCATTCAATTATTTAATGATTATTATTGCATAACTTTTGTCGTTCTGTTGTTTTTTGCAGTCATTTTCAATTGTCTGTTAATTATTATCATTGTAGCTATAATATTTATTACTTCAGGTTTATTATTTACAAACTGCCTGCATTGAAGAACAGCCCCAACAAGTTGGTGAGAAAGGGTGTTGGCCAGGTTTATATGGACAGTAACAATGTCAACTTCCAGCTGTTGAATATTTCCATCGCTGAACAGAGGGGTCCAGTTTATTATTCCCTGGCCAACATTTATTCCGGCAAAGTTTGTCAATTATCCAATTATTGTAAGATAATTTTGAATTTGCCAATGATATAAAATTTTACGTAGAATGTCTCAACAATGTATGCAATGTATAATGATCAAACTCCATATGAAACTTCTGAGCATTATGGTCACACCAAAGGTGAGTCATTCTTGATCATCCCAAATTTTTCTGCTACATGATTGAATGCTACATGATTAAAGTTTTATTTACAACTTTCATGTTTATTATAAACTAGGTTAACTTACTAACTCAGAGTCAATAATATTCAGTGCTGATATTTAAAATTGAGGAATAAATAGCATAAAGAATTTTTTACCATAATTTTTTCCAGGAGTTTTAAACTTTGATAGAACTTCAGGATTTTGGATGGTTCACAGCATTCCAAAGTTTCCACCCTCTCCACAAAATAAATATGATTATCCAAAAACTGCTACAAAATTTGGCCAAACGTTGCTCTGTGTTACTTTTAATTATTCATTCCTAGATCAACTTGGTCTGCTTTAAAATAATTAATATTTAATGTTGTTGAACGTATAAATTTTGAACATTAATATTCAATTGGACTAAAGGAGTGCAACTGAGGTTTAACAATCCGAAGATTTATAATTATTCCCTGCCGGCGGATATGAGGAAGTCCAATCCTAACATGGTACTTGCTTTGAATGGGTCATCAATTTCAGACAGGCCATATTTCAGTGTCCTTGAGCTGAGATCATTGCAAGGAGAAAATATTCTAAGTTTTGCTAAAAACGCCCATTTCAACAAAGGTTTTATTGTATTTGGTTTAATTAAATTTTACAGTTAATTATTCATGTAATCCTAATTAATTACAAAAATTAGTTTGCTGAAAAGTTGTATCAAATAAATATGATGCTTATAATTTTGTATGTCGTGTGATAATTATAACTTGAAATTTTCAGATTTGTACTCCAACTTGGTTGCAACAAGACTTCAATCAAACTTGATGGTTGAGGCGTGGAGGAACGGAAGAGGAGGCATGGATTCAGAGTGCAATATGTCCTATAAGGTTCTGTTTTGTTGTGTGGTGATTAAAATGGGCTTGTCATTATATTTTTGAAGTTGTTCAAAATTGTTAACTTGACATTTCTTACGTCAGGTAGAGAATATAGAAAGCATAAAATTGTTGGAGATGTCATTTAATAGTACGTCTGATCATTCAAAGTGGGCCATCGCCACTTCTCTTCCTGACTTTAAAAGGAAACGCAGTAGGAATCACATGATTGACATGTCTCATAAAATGTTAAGGTATCAGGAGTCCAACAAAGGGGTAGATGTTTGAAATTGTTCATGACTAGTGCTTCATTTTAAAATGTGAACCTCATTACAACAATGTTTGTGTCTTTTCAGAGGTATGTCGTGAAGATGAGCGTGGGTGGGAGGGGTCCATTGTCACCATCACCAGGAACATCTACGTGGACTTGCGTTGGAGATATTAACAGACAGGTTCCTGTTTTTTTTATTTCTATCTTTCTTTTCTTGTACGTATGAACTTAAATTCATGCTCTTTATATAAACTGTTAGACTGAAAATTTGTTTTGTTTGGTGTTATCATGTTGCCAAAACTTAACTGGTTGAAGTAGCATTTTTGTCAAGAGTTTTGTTTCAATAGTTTTGTCTAAAGAATTTTATTAAATGAATTATTGTCCAGGAGCACCAGCTGAAAAGAGGTGGTGGAACATTGTGCCTGAGTCTGCAAGCAGTCTGGAAGAACTTCAAACAGATGGTCACAACTGTCGAGCAGTGCTGAGTGCTGCCGATTGTTAATTGGTTGTTTGCTTGTTGTTGGGTTGTTGTAATTGGTGATTATTGGCTGGTTGTTGGGTTGTTGTGATGGTTGTTGGCTGGTTGGTGGGTTGTTGTGATTGGCTGTTGGCTGATGGGTGGGCTGTTGTGATTGGGTGATTGGTTGGCTTTGGTGGCTGGGTACTTAATAATTGGTGTTGGATAATTTGTCGGATGGTGCTTGTTCAAGTCATTTAATATTCTTGTCATGTATTTCTTCATGTATTACTTAGGGGATAAGCTGAATGCGGATGGAGGATGTTTGAGCGCAGTTACGGCTAGAGTTCGTGTGGGATGGATGAAATTTAGGGAACTGGGTGGGGTATTGTGTGGAAAGAAATGGTCAGTGAAGATGAAAGGGAGGGTATATAAAGCATGTGTGAGAGCAGCGATGATATATGGTGGTGAAACTTGGGTGTTGAGGAGAGAGGAGGAAAGTGTACTGCAGAGGGCTGAAAGAGCTATGGTGAGGATGATGTGTGGGGTTAAAGTGAAGGATAGGAGGAGTAGTACAGAGCTGATGTCAATGATGGGACTGAATGAGGACATTGTGACATTGATAAGGAGATCGAGATTGCGGTGGTATGGACATGTGTTGAGAAGGGATGAAAGGGTCGGGATTAGGCGAGCGTTGGAGTTCGAGGTTGAAGGAGTGGTAGGAAGGGGTCGTCCGCGATTGGGATGGAGAGAGCAGGTGGAGAAGGACAGGGTGAAAGCGGGGTTGCGTGATACTGAGGCGAGTGACAGATGTGGATGGAGTCGAGGGGTATTTCGGTTTCATCATAGGTAGCCAAACGGCAACCCCCGATCTCGGGGAAAATGCCGTCTAAACGTGTGTTGTGTTTGTTGTTTATTTCTAAATAACCGCTGTAGTAATATTGAAAAATTGTATAAATAAAAAATCGTTGACGTTCTTTACACTGCTATTAGTTAAGATTATTTAATATTAGATAGACATGATCCTAGTTATGTCCTTATCAATTATCCGTAAAATTTACTGACACCATGGCCTTCTATTTAAATGTGAGGCGTTCTAAATCATAATTTACTGATTATCGCGTCTTGCTGATTATCTCTGTCATAATAAACAAATTGGCAAGTGTGGAATGTCTTGTCTGTGAATGGTTGTTGGTTGAAAAATTATGAATTAAGTATGCTGGCTTCTTGAATTATTATGGCTCAACATAAACGGCAGGTGTGTTCACCTGTTAGTTCATTTTTAACAACGCCACTTGCTTACTTATGCAATATTTTCTTCCACATGTGTGTATGCCTTTATTATTTATTTGCTCTGTACTATCCGTACTCAAGTTTTATTTTAATTTTTTAAAGTGTAATTTTAATGTTTGCTCAAAAGCTATATTTTGAAATCTGTATGCAATTGAATATTATTTTTTTAGTTTTGCTTGCCGGGCCTTTTGCTCATTTTTAAGAACTTTTAAAACATGTATTTATATGTCATTGATGCGTTTAATGATGTTATTTTGTTAAATTTTTATTGATTTTGGAAAGTTTGATTATTATTTTTAAAAATTTCCAAAAAAGTTCACGTGATTTAAATGATGTAAAACCATCGTCGGCGTAACGAAAGAACTCAAGATCAGTCTGGTACTCGATTGTGGAGTGATGTTCCATGAATGGGTCCACGTGGGAATGGGATGAACGATGTTTCGTGAATGAATGCATATCAGTTCTATGTGTGGTATGAATGGATATCAGCTCTATCTCTGGTATGACTGCATTGACTGATTGATATCTGTGCTGGCTGATATTTTGCAGAGGAGATACGCTTACTTGCACAGTGTACTGAAGTTTGTAGCATCTGTTGCTTGCTTTTACATCCTGTCACATTGTTCATGCAAATTGTATTGGTTTACGCATGTTTAAATGATAGCCCGCTTCAGTGTCCCTACCTACCGCTGTGTTGATGCTGCAGAGGCACACCGCACAAGTGTTGAAGGACTGCAGTGGAAGAAATGAATCGAGGAGGTTCCGTCTTGACAACCAGATGGATGTCTTGCATACGAACTCCGCTAAACCATTATACATGGATCTTTCATTTGAATTCATTTTTTTTATTGTGAACGAATGAACAACTACACACTGTCAATCCCACGCAAGCACACACATTGTTACACACGTATAATTACACAAACACACACACACACATACACATATACACAGAACAATAAAACACAGAACGTGTGCAGATGTGCCGATAGGAGAAGACATCTGTAGACGTCGAAAGTGTACGACGAGCACTTGAACGAGTTCATGTCTCTCTGATTCAGACGATGCAAGTTTTTGTTCGTTACACGCACCAACATCGTAGGAAGACATAGAGGCGGTTGTTTTTTTCAACTTTGTACACCTTACAAAGCAATATGTTCAATGCTCTGTGTTTGTGTACATGTGTTGGTTATTTTGACACGCGTTTGCACAGAGCGCGTCTAAACGAACGTGTATTTTGTGTGCAAAACGTTTGAAAAACAGAAATAATGATTTAATGGGTGGAAGAAATGAGCAACAATATGTTCGCTACTGAATGGTTTTGAAACGGTGTGTGCGTGTGAGTACGTGTGTGCGCGCGTGCGAGTATGTGCTTGTGCGCTTGCGTGTGCTTGTTCATAATGGATCTTAGTTCATTTGCATTTAAATCAATTCGCATCAACGTTGTTAAAAAGAAGACAGCTCTTATTCATCATTCATACGTCTTTCATCAATTCATCGTTCATTCGTTTAACATCAATTCATCATACATTCGTTTATCTACCTTCGATTTATCGTTCATTCACTATCAGTTTATCATTTTTTTATTCATTCATTGACAATTAATTCATCATTCTTTTATCCCCCATTAATTTATCATTCATTCACCTATCATCAAATCATAGTTTCTTCATTCATTCATTAATTTATGATTTATTTATTCACCGCCAATTCATCATTCATTTACTAATCCATTATCAATTCATCCTTCACTCATTAATTCACCATTCACCCTCAATTCATAATTTACTCATCAGTTCATAATTTACTCATCAGTTCATAATTTACTCATCAATTCATCATTCACTCATCAATTCATCATTCACTCATCAATTCATCATTCACTCATCAATTCATCATTCACTCATCAATTCATCATTCACTCATCAACTCATCATTCACTCATCAATTCATCATTGACCCAGTAATTCATCATCCAATATAAAATAACCACTTCTGGGAAATATGTAAGATTGATGCTAGTGCGGCTTCATCCCTTGATGACTGCGATAAATTGAAAAAAATTTTTCGCAATTGTTTCCAATACCCATTTTTTTAAAATTATGCTTCAAAATTTTAAAACCGATTAATTTTAATTCATAATAATTGTTTAAATTTTGATATTTTGTTTCACAGTTCATCCACAATAACCTTATTTATATTCACGTTGAACGTCTTAATTTTCACGAAGCTTTGAAAACAATTTTTGATACAACCATCTAAAATAATAAAATATTAACAACTCAGCAAATAATCTAGACAAAGTGAATTTAAATTCCTGACAAATGCAGTAGAAGAGCGGGTCGTGAGAACATTTAAAGGCATTCATTCGATCCATCATACTCCATCTTGCTTCTAAATTTAAAATATGATCCTATCAAATGAGCAACACCTCACCTCATGTCATCTCATCTCATATCGACTCAACTCATCTCATCCCGTCTGGCCACACCTTCCCCCACCCAGTTTAAAACACGACACCTCTTACCACATCTCTCACCACATCTTAACTTACATCGCCTGAAGACGTATCATTGAACCCAGGGATACAAAAAGCCCTGATTAAATCAGACCTACAAACACCATTCCAGATAATATGTTGAAGTTATTAATTAGCATTTAATTACCATTCTATAATTTCACTCCAATGTTTTCAATTGAGCAATGTATTTTTTTATGTCTTAAAGATTTATTTATACATGCGCACGAGTGATATCAAACTTTGTTGAGATGCATGCATGTGTGAGAATATTTTCATTGACTGTTCATTCATTTGAAATTGTTGATAACAATGCGTGGATGCATTACAAAAGCCTAGATGCCTGAAGCTTGTCCAATGTGATCGGATGAATATTCTGGACAATGCAATGCAGTCAAAATTTTAATCAACCTCAGAGGTAACATAAAGCACCATTTCATTTCAAAATGCTTTTTAGGTTCGAATCGTTGATAACGTTCGCTCCTCGCTGTTCGTTTTTTTCTTGTTCATATTTGCTTTTTATTAAAGCTCATTCAACTTTAGCGCTGTTTGTTATGCACATTTTTCTGAAAGCAGAGCAGGGACAAATAAACTCCAATTAACTCCTTCACACGAAGCATACATGCAATTCAGATTGGCGTACTCTGTGTTTGTTTGACGGTGATCCCATGAAGATGAGATGCTAACTCCCCGCTAACAATTTCGATAAGAGAGCTGATAATATTAACGCTAGAAACTACAATTTCGTTGCAATTAACAATTTCATTGATGATAAAAAAACAAATAAAAATGACAATACATCATGTTGACGTACTGAATAAGATCTGCAACGGGATTTATTGAAACCAGCCTCTCAAAAGTATAAAATTAAAAAAAAGTGATAGAAGGTGTGTTCGGTCTCTGATGAAAGTTCACTGGACGAATGTAGGTAGGGAGGAGGAGGAGTGAGAGGAAAACATCAACCCATTCCGTCAACCCACTAGGTAAATGTTTTTCATTTTGTTTGCGTCTTTTCTTTAGTAAATTTAAAATTTTGTTATTTATTTTATAAAATTTGAATGTTTGTGTGTATGTGTGCGATATATATATACTTATATGTGTGTGTGTGTTTGTGTGTGTGTTTGTGTGTGTGGTGTTTATGTAAGAGTTTATTAAATATAAGAAGAGAAAGAGAGCATGAATTGAATAATAATTTATCATCGGTCCTCATCACAGAAAACAAACGTGGAAACATTTTCGACGGCCATAAACTAAGTTGGCAATTAAAAATAAAAAACTAAAATCGGGAGCCACCGTTGGCACCTTTAACATTGCGAAATAAACAAATAAATCAGTGCGGAAGTTTTCTTTTAACCGATGACGTCACAGGTTGCTGATGGCTGGTTGATTGAAGCTGGCGGGTGATTTATCGATTTATCTGTTGACTGATTGACGGAATGATTGCTTAGAGGCAGCGGAATGAATTAGAAAGTTCTTCTATTTGAACCATTAATTTCAGATGTGGCTGCTGTTCTTCTTCTTAATTGAGCTCATTTGTCATGTTGTTGTGTAGTGCAGTGTACGTGTGTTTGCGTGTGTTTGCGTGTGTATGAGTATGTGTGTGTATCGAATAGTCCTTTATACAATGTAAAATTTGTAATTCTGTTCCTGAAACAAACACCGATTTGTGTTTCCTTGTTTGATTTTGAAGTTGTGACCAATTAAACAATATGTAGAGTTTGGAATTAAAAAATTTACATTAAGAAATTGAGTTTAGTTTGTGCTTCGTTTATCAGCGAAGTAGGTTATTCAAATCTGAACAACTTGTTAAATGATTGAATGAATTAAATTAAATGATTGAGTGATTAAATAAATTAGTAATTTAATATTCCCAATGTGCACACACACCACACACACACACACACACACACACACACAGACACGCACACAATTGTCAAATTTTAAAAACAAAACCCAAAAATTTACATACATTTCTGCAACAACTTTTTAATGTGAATGAACATTGTATATGTATATGTGGTAAACACACACACACACGCACACGCACACACACACACACACACACACATCATCACAAACACACACAACACAACACACCCACACACAGATATATGTATATATATAGATGTGTGTGTATATATATATATATAATATATAAATGACGGAAAAAAGTGACATGCAGAGAAAGCATTGGAGATGGCATGCATCCAACCGACCAGACTTATTGAACATCCGTGATGAACGGATGTGAACATTATTGATGAACAACGATGGTGAACACTTGGAATGAAAATCATTGATGAACATTTACGATGAACATTAGTGATGAACAATATTATATTAATATGGACTTTGTGGTAACATTTAAATTTCTTGGATTTTTGGATTTTCATTTCCACATGATTGCGTTGATGAATAAAGTGATTTTTTTTTTGTAAATAGTAAAAAATAAAATAATAGACAACGAGAATGTGTATGTATGTATGTATGATTCATTAAAATACTGTTTGTATAAATTTTAAATCAACTTGTTTAATTATATCAACTATCAATAAATCAGGTAAGACATTAAAGACTATTTTATTTTCTCTCTCTCTCTCTCTCTCTCTCTCTCTCTCTCTCTCTATATATATATATATATATAATAGTTGTTTGAATATATTGATTAATAAATAAATTGAAAATTAAAAAAAATAACAAAAAATTAATTATATTAATAGTTAAATAATTTGTAATAATAAAATAATCAAAAATTCTTATCTTAATGTGAATAAATACAATTTACTTTAATATATAATCAATTCATCGTAATTGGATGTTCCCTAGGATCTTCCTCATCTTTCAGGTTGGTTCAACCACATCAGGTTTTATAGATTTGTATAAATCATCTTAATTATTTGTATTTTTATTATAGATTTGTATACAATCAATCTGTACTATTTGTATATTTTTAAATGTTTGTATCTAATCTTTAAATGTTTGTTTCTAATCCTTAAATGTTTGTATCTAATCTTAAAATCTTTGTATCTAATCCTTAAATGCTTGTATCTAATCTGTAAATTTTTGTATCTATTCTAATCGCAAATGGCTAACAATTTGAAAAAGGGTCTGTACGAAGGGAGGCTTAACAAAAACAGATTTATTAGTTATCTTTCGCATTAAACTTTATATATATTAAAAATTATTTATTTGAAACTTAATCAATTTAAACAATCAATCAAAATTTAACTTTGTTTTATATTGAGTGATTCTCGCCATTATTTTCGGACAAGAAATTAATTAGTAAGTATCAAGTTAACAGAAATTGAGCGTTGAACGATGCAACAACCCAATAAAATAGCGAATCACATTTATTTACACAACAGTCTTACTTACTTGCGTGTATGACTTATGGATTATTTTTATCGGGGATTTTAAGATTTTGTTCTTCTTTGGAGTTCCTCTTCATGCTCGTTTTATTGCGTTTCACGGAATAAACTTGTATAAAAAAAATAGATTTATTTATTTTTATCACCATAAGCTAACCTT